AGGAACGAGCAAAAGCTAGGTCACGTGGTCACATGACCTACGACATTGTTTTTGGCCTTTTGGATTAGAAATCAGATAAGCAGGGTCGTTATCTTCTTTTGTGGGGGAGGAAGAAAGAAATTTGATTGAAGTTGCATATTGTAAAAGTGAATGCAGGAGATTTGTTACTAAGGGCGCCCCTGGAGATTGTTAAACGTTTCGAGAAAGCAGTATTTTGGATGAGAATGATGAAGAATGAAAAGAGGATTATTGGATGTGTGTGTGTATGTGTGTGAACATGTCAAACGACGAGAAAATGATAAGCCGGTCCAACGGACCGACAACGGAAGTCGATTCAAGCTCCTGCTCAAAGTTTATGGTAAGAGCAAGTAATATCCTCGGTAAATCACATTGACCAGCAGCAGAGCGACATTAAAGTGGAACAAGGGCAATGGTTGGAGCAAAAAATTGCTTCTCTTCCCAGTCTGTACATAATCCGCCAAATCCCAGTTATCCTAAACATACATTCTATATACCCACAGCATCATGAATCGATCCTTTACCATGAATGATTCCGGGGCAGACTCGAACGCTACCGTTTTATCAATCGACAAATGTAAAAGCCTTCAAGAGAACATGAATAAGAAGGACGTTGAAAAAAATGATCCTTGTTGGGATCTGAGGCGGGTGGATAGCTGTAAGTGAATTGCTGGAATGCTGTAGAGAAAACGCGGGAAGCTGATGATGATGATGATGATGATGGTAATTAAAATAGATATGGATGTTGCAAGTATTGTTGAGCCGCCACCACCAGAGATGCTAGCCGATATTCCTGATGGTGGTTATGGTTGGTGAGTGTTTTATCGAATGACACTTTTGTTAGCGTAACCCTGATGCATATGGTTAGGGTTGTAGCAGCTGCAGGATTCTTGAGCAATTTTGTTGTTTTCGGCGTCTCCACGATTTGGGGTGAGTTATCGATCCATGCAGCAGCAGAAAGATGAAGAAGACTCACACTCGATTCGATGTAGGTGTATTTTCACAAGCATTTGCCACATCCATTCTTCAGGGCAAAGCAAGCACAATCGAGCTGATGACTGTTGGGTCCACAGCTAATGTGTGTCTCAACATTTTCACTCCACTCAGCGTCCTTTTTGTACGTTATGGTACACGTTTCAATTATGGACTTGGTAGCATATTGATGTGTGCAGGCATTGTCTTGGCTGGCTTTAGCACAGAGATTTGGCAGCTCTATCTTTCATTTGGGATACTCTTTGGATTAGGAGCTTCATTTGTATACATGGTAAATAATGGATTTGCCTCGTTTTAATGTATGCTAACTTTTTCAAAAAGTCTGTAGCATCAGTCATTCCTCAATGGTAAGATAAGACATCAAATTGTATTATGCTAATGTTATTAACGACATGAACAACAAGGTTTACTACACGACGTAGCACAGCAATGGGGATTAGTTCAGCTGGAACAGGCTTAGGAGGTTTGGCATTGAGCCCAATGGTAGGTTCAAGACGATGTGTGATGATGATGATATATAATAACACTTTATTGCAGGCAAGCTCATTGATAGAGAAATATGGTCTTCCTTGGGCGTTTCGTATTGTCGGCTTAACATCGTTTGGGATTTGTTGTCTTGGAACGCTATTAGTGAAAGATCGGATACCAAGATCACAACGTAAACGTTTGCCTATCAAATCACCAATCCAGCCATCTTTATTGAAGAATATCGATTATAACATCTGGCTTTTGGGGGCTGTGGTGGGTCTCATGGGGTATTTGACACCAATGTTCTATTTACCAAGTAAGTCTTTGGTTGCATAAAAGTGTCACCCAAAAAGCTAAACTAACCATGTTTCCAGAATATGCTGCACATATCGGTATCAATGATAAGGATTCATCCAACTTGCTTGGTATCATGTGTGCAATGAATGCTGTTGGTCGTCTCGTGTTTGGCTTTGTAGCTGATCGTATTGGACCCCTCAACACCTTTACGATTGCGTCCATGCTGGCAGGTCTATTCACATTCCTCATATGGCCATTTGCAACAAGCTATGATATACTCCTGGCGTATGCTATCCTTTGGGGATTCACTTGCGGTACATACTATACGTTTGCTGCACCAGTAACCGGTAGCATTGTTGGCGTCGACAAGATTGCACCAGGCCTAGCGATCCTCTTCATTGCAAGTGCTGCTTCGGCCATGGGGACACCCATCGCTGCTGCTATTCAAGCTTCAACACCTCATGGCGGGTACATTGGAATCCAAATGTTCATTGGCGCTGTGTATGTTGCTGGAGGAACCATATGTCTAGCTTTAAAGTACAAGGTTACCCATTCATTAATATCAAGATACTAGTCATCATCATCATACGACGTCATTGATTGTGTGTGTGTGTGTGTGTGTGTGTGTGTGTGCTGTACCTTATTGTTGGGCCAAGATGTACTTGATCGGAAGATTCGTGTAGCCCTTGTCGGACAAACGGCTAAGACAAAAGAGCGAAAAAGAGACGTTCCGTAATTGTATTATTCCACCCTTTTCTTCCCCTTTTTTATACATTTCTGTTTCCATGCGACTCCCGCGTCTGGTGAAGCAAATAGGTGGATGCTTTCGCCAATTCACCAAATTCATCGGCCCTGGTTTCATGGTGGCTGTTGGATAGTAAGACTTTTGCACATCATCAATCAATCAATCAATCATCCTACTCACCCACCCATTTTCGTTTCACGTGTGCTACCCCGCTATTGCTACCGCTTCCTCCGTATAGCCTTGACCCTGGCAACTGGGCAACTGACATGGAGGGTGGATCACAATTCGGCTACCGTTTACTGTTTATCATCCTGCTTTCCAATATCATTGCCATCTTTTTACAAAACATGACCATACGAATGGGGACTGTCACTGGCATGGATCTCGCATCCGCTTCTCGTCGTTATTTTCCAAAGTACCTGAATTTGTTCCTTTACCTCTTGGCGGAGCTTGCCATCATTGCTACGGATATGGCCGAAGTGATCGGTAGTGCTATTGCTCTCAATCTCTTATTCCCAAGTCTCCCGTTACCTGCTGGTGTTGCTATCACGGCAGCCGATGTCTTCATCATCCTATTGTTCTACAGCGAAGAACCCAATTCAGGCCAAGCTGAAACAGCTTCCATGCGTGTGATCCGTGTTTTTGAAACATTTGTCATGTTCCTTGTTCTAGCAGTGGGCATTTGCTTGAGTATCATCCTTGCTGAATCAGACGCCAACGCTATCGATGTCCTCAAGGGCTACGTTCCTACTCGGGAAATCTTTACGGATCCATCGTGTCTATATGTGGCTATCGGCATTATTGGTGCTACAGGTAAATGGATGACCAAGTATAGTGTATATCGGCAATACCCCCTTATCAATGTTCATATCTATAGTGATGCCTCATAACCTTTACCTGCATGGCTTTATTGTACAATCACGCTGCCGTACTTGGAGATCAAAACGCCCTGAAGTTGAAGAAGTGGAACCAGGCCAGTGGGTCATCCAGTGTGCCACACGTCAAATGGTTGATGAAAAATCAGCAGCAGCAACGAACGATAACATTGTGCGTGATGCCTCTGTTGTAAACATGGATGACTCTGAAACAGCAAATGGAAGATATTACAACATGGATCGTTTGCGCCAATACCTACGAAAAGCATTACGCGAGAACCTTGTTTACGGCTTTATCGATCTTGTGATTGCACTCATTTTCGCCTTTTACGTCAACTGTGCCATTCTTGCAGTAGCCAGTGCCAACTTTTATTATGGTCCTGAAGGTCAAAATCAAGTTGTGGATGATTTGTTTGGAGCACATCATCTCCTTTCAGTGTATTTGGGACCTGCAGCTGGTGTTATTTTTGCATTGGCATTGTTGTGTGCTGGTCAATCTTCTACCATTACAGCTACCTTGGCAGGCCAAGTGGTGATGGCTGGATTTCTTGGAATGACAACACGTCCTTGGGTACGACGAATTGTTACACGTTTGGTAGCTATTGCCCCTGCTTTGGTCGCTGCATGTATCGCTGGTCGTTCAGGATTGAATCAACTCTTGGTGGCATCCCAAGTGGCTCTCAGCATTCAATTACCATTTGCAGTGGTACCCCTTGTTTACTTTACGTCACGCAAGCATATCATGAAGCTTGATCTTGTCCATGACGTCCAGGGTGAAAAGAAAGCGGATGCAAATCGCGTGACATTGTCTTGGATCGATCGCCTATTTCCCAGAATTCCATCTCATCATCTGTCATTTCTTCCACGTGCATTGCGTTCGAATGCTCTAAAGGATGACAAGAACGAAACAGCATCCACCATTCGAACATTCACTCCCATTCCTTTAAAAGAATGGCCAAAGCCCTTGCAATACGAAAATGGTATCATTAGTGGTATCGTTGCTGGCCTCATCTCCTTATTGCTTATTGGTCTAAATGGATACCTCGTGGTGTCTTTGTTCATGGGCAACACATAGATTTGATACTCATTGTCTACTCACATCATGTACTATAAAACATTCTATCCCTGCGTGTTCATTTACCTTTCAAGGATAGCCCTCTTGTTTCCTTCATCATCATCGTCATCATCAAAGATAAAAATACGTGTTTCTTTTTGCAATGTAGTACAGCATGATTTTTACACACCATGTCAGCCAAGCAAATTGGATACCAGCAAGGTGTGTATGTATGTATGCAAGTCAAAAAAGGTGTGGCTGGGTATACCCATCCATCCTCCTCCTCATCCTCCTACTCAAATGCCGCCGACTATCGTTGCATAAAGAAGAAAGAATTGAACCGTGCGCAATATGCATAAAGACACTTTAAAAGTACCAAATAGCCCTTTATTTGCTATCCATTGAATGTATTACGTATATGTGTGTGGGTGGATGCTACGCGTGTGTACGTGTGTGAGTGTGTGTGAAAAGTGTTTTTAACTTCATCCAATGAGAATGTGTTGGGTGCTTACCATCCCTGTCATGCGAGGGAGACTTTCATTTCTCGTCTTTTCTTTACTCTAAACTTTCTCATGCCCATTCCCTCTGCAAGTACCTCATCTTCTACAACCCCCACTTCCACATTTACAGAACCACATCAGATACCTTCAGCTGCCAAACCCTCCTCCTCAACCACCCCAGGCTGTTCACAATGCAGTGCTGATGCAGCCGGATGCCAGCATAAACCGGGATTAGCTTTTCCCACCGCTACCACTATTGACGAAAAGCGTGCAAAGTGCGATCGTCATTCGACAAGTCGATCCCAAGCCAGTCCTAGCAGCATGTTGTTGACGAGCCGGAAAGAAGGCGATGTGTGGGTCGATATTTCTAATGAACGGCTACCGAATTCTCGGCTCGGCTCACTTTACCCTGGATCATGCTTCAAAGGGATGCAGCATTGTGGAACAACAAGCTATGAAGTCTCTGTGGATATCCAAGTAAGCCGTAGGCTACATTGTCTCAAAGAGAAAGGATCATCTAACATCATCCTATCATTGACTAGCATGTGGATTTGAAAGAAAGCACGCTATGTGGCTATCTCAATATCACCGGCTTAACATCCGATTATCCCGAGTTGACTGTAAGTTGGCATAGGATACTCCTTTTTTTCTTCTTCCTCACAATCACTTGTTTCCATGTTAGACTTTCTTTCAAGCTGAAATCATTGGTCCAAAATACTCTTTTCTCACACGCAAATGGCAGGCTGACAAGAATATTGATGCATCCCATTGGGTAAGCTACTTGATGTTTCCATGATGATGGCGAATGTATATTAAACTTGTTTTATAGAAAAGATTCCCATCGTTTGAGAAATACGCAGAGAACTTTAATGACGATGGATTCAGCTACGACCCTTATGATGAAGACTTTGTCTATATGCGTTGGAAGGAGCACTTTCTTGTACCGGATCATCGCGTAAACAACATTGATGGCGCTAGTTTTGCTGGTTTCTACTATATCTGCTATCAACGATCCACTGACGAGATCAAAGGATACTACTTTTTCCGCCAGCATAGAGAATGGTAAGCAAAAGGAGGACGTAAAGATGTAGTTGATTCATTCATAACACGATTGCATTTTTAGGTATCAGGAGCTCTCTCTCAAACATGTGGACGATCGTACATTTGGAAACTTTGAAATGCGATGATGGATTCTATTTTCACGATACCCTTTCCAATATGCTGTATATCATCATTACGCGAATGCACACATTAGCTGTCCTCTTTCTTCTTCTTCTTCAGTAGTAAAACAAATATTATAAATACAATGTTATGGCTGGATCAACAATGAATGGGGGTCAACAATGATGGGCTTCTAGTGGATGTGGCGATTTATTGTTTGGATTCTACTGGTAATAAAGCTGCTGCTACCCGACGACCTTCCTCTGCAAGCACATTGTACGTAGCTGCTGCATGTTTCTATTTATAAACCATAGGATGTGAATATCCACTTTCATCCATACACACGCACTATGCAGCTCTTGCTTACCGTGTTCATTTGATCAACCTGGATTCCAAGCTTATAAAAGTATTCACGGATGGATGGCGGGATTGGTGTAAAGTTCTTGCCTGTACCGAGTAATACCAATTCTATAGAGATGACATGTATCAGTGTATTGTCCTTGTATCCGATCTCATAGCAACGATCCTTGCATCCAATCTCATAGCAACGACATACCTGGCTTTGGTGAAGCAACCTCGAAGATTTTAAATGCATCAAGTGAAATAGGCTTGTCAAATTGAAATGCATCTTGGGGCACCTGCCATAGGAAAGCCGAGCCGTTCAATAAGACGAGAGGATTGCGTATCTGTACATTGTTTGAGAGCACGAAGCCATCCTTGGTAATAACTTCCACGCCAACATTCGGTCCACGATCAAACATGTTGACAAAGAGATCCATAGTGCTTTGAGACGAGGCATCAGCTGGTGCTTCAGCGGGTACTGTTTGGTTGGCGATCTTGATTGTCTTTTCTTCATGTCGGAACGAGGTTGCCTGTAAGAAACGACGCGCTGTAGTCAACGATGCAAGGGGTCGAACGGAACGTTTTGTGGCGATTATGCGAGCGGTGTGGAGCATGGTTGTGTGTGTGTGTGAGGAAGAAATGGAGTCCACGTGCGGATCCCCGACAACTTAGCTCGAGTAAGACAACCTCTCTATTCACGTGACCCAATACTGTATATCAAGAATGAATGTCAAATGATGTATTACTATGATTAATCTCTATAACAACTACGTCTATTGTGATGTCACATAAGGTCTCCAAAAAAGCACGACATTCTTGCCTTCAAAACCAAGATAGGCTTTTTCAATGACACCTTGTCCATGGGTATCTTTTTCGCTCAAGTATTGAATAAAATCTTCAGTGGTGACGACTTCGTTGCCATTGGATAAACGTCGATGCCGATTTTCATGATGGAATACACAACAAGGAATGACAGCAAAAGGTTTGCCCATTTTGAGAGCAGCATCAACAATAGGTTCAGTCGCTTGATCTGAATGCAAACCAATCAAAAGCCCAGCTTGTTCAACCACCTCAGGATAATTCTCGAGAAAGGCATCGTTCATCAATGTTGCTAGGTATGTAGGTTCCAAATCATAAGGCCATTTCTCTTCCATAGGTACCGTACAATCGGGAGCTTCGCCTCGTACCATTCTACAAGTGAGCCTACGTAAACGCGTGTACCAATGGCGAGGTTGTTTCCTTGTCTCCGGTTCTACCACGGTTGCCGGGATATTGTATCCATGGCTCAGGAACATGGATACGTCGCCTTTGCCACCAGCAATATCCAATACACCACGGCGCACTTGATCCGATAATAGATAATCTCCAAACGTCTCATGAATCCACTGCGCAAAGACCATAGCACGTTGAGCATGTGATTTCTTTGAAGTGTGAGGATCATGCGGGTTGTGTGTTGTAATTTTGCGTGCAGCCATTCTTTCTTCAATCCAAGCTTCTCGTGCAGCCATGTACTCTTCTTCCGTTGGGTGCAAAAATGGACAATTGGGCAAGCGAACGCACTCTCGTTGATTGATCCAATACTTGCAATACATTTCAGACTTGGCCTTTTGTGATCCATCCCAACGTCGAATTGTTTGTTTGGGACCGCTGCTACCCAAAGGAGGATCGGCAACAAATGTCTTGGTATCAGTGTAGGGTTGTATCACAATGAGAGGTGCTGTGGATTGCCATACGTTGAAACTCTTGCTGTCATATTCGGATGGATCGGTGGGAAGACCTACAACAGCACGCACCACATCCCCTTGTTTGACAGAACGATAGATATCTTGCACACCCTCTCGAGTCAAAGAGCCGTCATCGCTTCGAAATAGAATCTGGTCTTTGTTGCCATTGTCAAGTAGGACATCAATAAAAAAGAGATCCTTGGAAAGTTTACGCCGATGTCTAATTTGGCCCTCGATTGTGGTGTCGAGCGTCAACTGCCGAGTAAAACGGTTGTTCACCATACGAGCAAAAAGTGGAGATACAATTGCGGTGGTTGTCAGATTTCTTTTTGGTAAGTCCATCCATCCAATAACAATGACGACGCCACACTTGGCACATTGTAAAGCCACACAACATGACCCTCGTCTGCTCATTGTAGAGATGCATCGATTTCTTTTTCTTCGACTAGTGCCATCATCAGGTAGCATATCCGTGGGCTCGACCCCATCATATTGCATCAAGCAACAAGGACTATTTATAATCCAAGATAGCATCTATCGTAACAACGAGTGACCCAACGTCAATAACAACAGGCAAGTTGGCTATTCTTATTTGAACCATGTCATCAGTTCCAGGCATTACTATTATCATCATTGAAGCAACTTTCCAAATGATCGTCATGTGACTTAGGTGGTATTACTTTTTGGAGAACCACTTTCCATTCATCCCCATCTTCATGTACACCTATAGCTAGCTATCCTCTTTCTCTTCAACAAGTGATGTATATGTAAAACAACTCTTTTTTATTATAGTAGCCGTTCAAAAACTCAATAGCTGGCATAAGGATGACTTCATTCCCAGATCGGACTGTAGCACTAAAATGGAGGGTAACTGCAATAGATAATTCTCTGTATCACATAGCCAATGTCCCACCTTTTTATAAAACCATGTCTATTTCATCCCTATACCCTATACAAGTAGCTTACATTCATGTTCCCATATAAAAATAAAGACTATGTTGCATTGTTTCAAGACAACACGGGGAAGATGTTGCTATTCTCCTGAGACTACAAATGGGAACTCCTTATACAGCACAACATTCTGTGAACGTTATATAGGCAAAAGACATACCATGATGACCAAAAGGCGCTATCGATAATACACGAGCCACATTTGTATCCATCGCGGCTAAGCTGGAATTACATAGCCAATATAATGCTTTGGACTCCGAGAGCTTAACCTGTGACGAGTGCTCAATATTGCCCCATGTGCAGCAGCAGCAGCAGAAGCAGCAGCACCTCTCTCTCTCACACAGCATCCCCTCCTTTTGTTCGTTCCCTTCTAAGGTAAAGAGTGTGCTTCTTTTATTTCCCACTCTTTTCCTTTCTTCCAAATTTTCTACTTGTCTTTTTCTTTTCTTTCAATACCAATAACATAAGCACCGTCAGCCAACCCACTAAGCTCGATATTGCAACCGAGCGAGCACTTTTATTTCAACCACCACAACCACTATGGCTGCTACAACTACTCACGTCGCCAAATGTCAACAACATTACACTTCCAATGACGGCCATAACTTGACTGAACGATCGTTGCCATCAGAGATGACAAGTTCGCCGCCTGTTGCCGCTTATAGCACTGCAGGAAACGAACCTGAAAATGATGGTGTCACCAAGAAATCCGATTCGGGTGTGTATTTTGCCATGATGCTCTCAGAGTACTTGGATAAGAAGGCCATGGAGGAGGACAAGGGAGATGCAACAATCGTAAAGCCGAATAGCAGCAGTGACGAATCTAATACGACTACCACCACCACCACTACTACTACTACTACTACTGCTACCACCACTACTGTCGAGCCAGCAACCACTACGAATTCAGCCAATGATAATGTCGGGCGCCTTGGCCAACATGTTCCGCACGGCCACCCAAAAGATGAAACTTATGCAGAAGCACAGGTCAAGGAAGTGATGGCAAACTTACCCAATTTAATATGGTTCGTACATATACACACAACGTGGCTTTTCAATCCTTTTTTATACTCACTATGTTACTTTATCTTATCAGGGTGCCTGCACACAAGCATCCACAGATTGCACCGAGTGAGTTTGTTAATTGGATCCAAGTACATGGTGAAACGCCGGCTATGAAGCAATCCAAAGTGCGTCGACAAAAATCCAAGCTCTCGAGATCAATATCATACGATGATGCGAATATCATTAGCAACAATGAGAATGAAAAAGAGAGCAACACGAGTGCCAGCACCACGAGTTCGAGTAGCAGCAGCGGAGAGGATAGCCCTACAAGTCCAAAGGATTATGAGTTACCCCAAATACAGGGCAAGGATGGTATGTGTGTGCATATGACAAGTAGGGTGTATGCTTTGTATTCATCTAAAACGTTTGTTTAGCAGGTTTTGCATTTGATCGGCACCCAACAGAAATCGATTCTTCTCCTATACTAGCCCCACCAACGCATCATCGAACATTATTACGTCGCTCTGCAGTATCAGCTAGACGAACGGCTAGTGAAGGCAATGCTGATAGACGACGTAGCCGACGAGCGCAACAACAATCACGACATGCTGAGGATACGAGTGATCGCATGGGCCATGTACCAACTGAAGCCGTTAATTTGCATGATCATCCCGTTAGTATGAGCGAGTGGATTGATTTAGGCAATGCGAGCCTCGAGTCATCAGAATCACAACATGGCATCTTATCACGTGTGCATGATGCTGAATCACAGCTATTGAAATTTATGGATGATGATGAAGACGATGATAAAAAGGTTGCCAAGGCAACGGCGACCATGGCAACGGCCATTCCCGAGGAACCAGAATCGGATTCATCTTATCCAAGTGCTACAACCAAGGATGATGATGATACGACTTGCACCACCACCACTACCACCGAGCCATCGACTTTGGATAACAAAAGAATGACCTTGAGACGATCAGCATCGGATTTGATTCCTCAAAAGAGTGAAAAGAAAATGTCATGGATTGGTGCATTATTGAATGGTGACAAGAAAAAGAGACGTTCATTGCGACGACCCAATAATGAAAAGCACAAAGATCAGGCATCCCTTCAACTTACACGAGTCAATTCCATGGGCGCAGTATCAACATCAACCACCACCACCACCACCGGCACCAAGAAACGTGGATTGGCTGCATTCATCTCTAGATCATTATCCAAATCATCATCAGCAGCAGGAAGGAAAGAGTCTAAAAAGACTAAGAAAGATCCTATTCCACCCCCACCATCTTCCACAGCAACCAGCAGTGTAACCACGGTAGCCTCTAGACATTTTATCCACAGCTATCGTTTACCCATCCATGTTGAACGTGCCATCTATCGACTCTCTCATATGAAACTTGCCAATCCACGCCGTCCTTTGCATCAGCAAGTGGTGATTTCCAATTTTATGTTTTGGTATTTATCCATCATCAATCCTCAGGCCACACAATCTACCACCAGCAACAATACCCAATGGCCTCAAGAAGGAGACGAAGCAGCATCATTTCGAGCACCATCACCATCATCCAATAATCGTTTTCAAAAGCCCTCACTCAACAACAACAACAACAACAAGAAATATGAGCGACGTGCTTCAGTGAGCAGCAATACCGGTTCATCTGATGAAGAAGACAATGTCCCTTTGAGCTTTTACAGAAAAGGCGATGTTTAGACCCACACACCCACCCCCCTTTTACGAGAAAAGAATGACACCTTGTAACCCCTCGCCACCATCATATTTCAGCCATTATTGCACCGCTGACCACACTATTTGCATCATTTTCTATTATTCATCACCACTATCATCATCATTATCCGCCGATTCATTATTCTTTTTCTCGTTTAATAACTATTGTACATTCATAAAGAGTCCATTCGATATCATTTCATAAAAAGTGTGACAATGAAGCCAGCCAAAATGATAGCTCGTTCCTCAAAAGGGTAGTGAGTATACTTGTAGGAACAAGCCGGAACTAAATTTCAGCCCGCTCATCATCCAAGTACGCCACAAGCCCACTGATAGAACTCGTTGTCTTTCTTCCTCTTCTTGTTCAAAATGACTTTGCTTACAACATTGAACCGCATTGCACCTCTTGCCACTACTGCCAAACGTGCCTTTAAGCCTGCCTTGTCTTCTGCTTATGCTGTAGCCCAACAACAACGCTTCAACTCGAACGGCGCTGTCGAAGTAAGGAACAGGAAAGGAGTGGATAATAGGATCCATGATATTGATATGGGTATAGATGACCGTGCGTGATGCATTGAACCAAGCTTTGGAGGAAGAGTTGACTCGTGATGAAAAGGTGTTCCTTCTTGGTGAAGAAGTTGCTCAATACAACGGCGCGTACAAGGTATTATTTGGGATAAGTCGGGAAAACATACAAAGAAAAATACACTCAACCTATTCCGACATTAGGTTACCAAAGGTCTTTTGGACAAGTTTGGTCCCAAGCGTGTCATTGATACCCCCATCACTGAAATCGGCTTTGCTGGTTTGGCTGTGGGTGCTGCCATGAGCGGTCTCAAGCCTGTTTGTGAATTCATGACCTTCAACTTTGCTATGCAGGTAAAAAAGTAAACAATAGCAACACCACCACTCTTCATGTTTCTTATTATGATGATTATTAGGCCATTGATCAAATCGTCAACTCGGCTGCCAAGACCCATTACATGTCGGGTGGCACTGTCACTGTGCCTATGGTCTTCCGTGGTCCTAATGGTGCTGCTGCCGGTGTGGCTGCTCAACATTCTCAATGCTATGCCTCGTGGTATGGTGCTGTCCCTGGTCTCAAGGTCATTTCTCCTTGGAACTCTGAAGATGCAAAGGGTCTTTTGAAGGCTGCTATTCGTGATCCCAACCCTGTTGTTTTCCTCGAAAACGAGCTTGAATATGGTGTCTCTTATCCCATGTCGGCTGAGGCTCTTTCTTCTGACTACGTCTTGCCTATTGGTAAGGCCAAGGTTGAGCGTGAGGGTAAGGATATCACCATTGTCTCCCACTCTCGCTCCGTTGGCTTCTCCATGAAGGCTGCCGAGGAATTGGCAAAGAGCGGTATCTCCGTTGAAGTCGTCAACTTGCGCTCCATTCGTCCCTTGGATGTTGATACCATTACTGCATCTATCAAAAAGACCAACCGTCTCATCACTGTCGAAGGTGGTTGGGCCTCTTATGGTGTTGGTTCAGAAATCGCTGCTCAAGTGATGGAATGTAAGTAGGCGTGTCTTTACGTGTATATGTGTATAAGATCTTGGTCGCTAATACATGGGATAGCTGATGCATTCGATTACTTGGATGCTCCCATGGTTCGTGTCGCTGGTGCTGATGTCCCTACACCCTATGCCAAGAACTTGGAAGAGTTTGCCTTCCCTGATGACAAGGTCATTGTCAAGACCATCCGGTAAGTGTTCTTTTTTTTTAAACACACAAGTGTGTGTGTAACTTTGCGCACAGATGTTGATTAACCTATCATGATTTAGTGATGTGTTGGACAAGAAAGTTGGCGCCTAAAAACACACTCTCCCTCTTTTACTATCATTCCTCCTCCTCCTCTTGCTCACTCATGATCCCTTAACTATCCATCATCATTAACATCACGTAATCCTTTATAGAAAGGCAAACCAATGCCTGTAAATACAAAATGTCTTTTGGGATTTGATTATGGTTACAAATGGTTGCTATGTATGATAATGCAACGGGGAATCACGGCTGTTTTATCCGGTTTCAAATATCGAGAGCGCATTTTTCCATATTTCCTTTTCACCAAACTTTTTTTTTTCGTGGCATCTCGTTGTTCAAACATCTCATGTTTGCTCATTTGAAGAACCTATTCAAGGGAAACAAAAAGGACCATGCACAGTCAGCTTCCTTGACAAAGCAGCAGCACCCCCAACAGCCTGCCTCCTCAACCGACTCCAAGAGAACACTCATTGTGGCAGAGCCCAAGAAGCTACACAATGCCAAAACTTTGACAGCAAAGCAAGTTATCGAGATTGAACAACGCCGTAAACGACAATTGCCTGTGTATCCTGGTCTAGAACGTTTCGAGCTTATTGAGAAGCTTGGAGAGTGAGTAGAGCGTTTTAACGCTTTTGGTATGCATATAGCTCATTTCTTTCTTTCTCTAGTGGTGCATTCTCCATTGTCTACAAGGCCAGAGATACAACGAATGATCAATTGGTGGCTATCAAGGTGGTTAGAAAGAACGAGCTTGAAAGAGTAAGTGCTATCGTGAGAGGTTGAAGGACATTATTTAACAAGTGGGTGTTGTTTGTTTATTATAGCATGGAAATACTCCCCATCTTCATCCAAGTCTCAAAAAGAAAACTCGCGCCACTGAGGTAAATGGGATATGGCAAAGGGGTGGTGCGAGTAATGTATTAAACGCGTTCATTGTTAGAGATCGACTATTCTAAAAGAGGTGCAAATCATGCAGACTTGCAAGCATGAGAACCTTGTTGCACTCGTTCACTTTTCCGAATCACTGGACTATTACTTTCTCGTTATGGAATTGAGCAAAGGTGGTGAACTCTTTCATCAAATCGTCAAGCTTACCTATTTCAGCGAGGATTTGGCACGTCATGTTATCATTCAAGTGGCTCTTGCCATTCAGCAATTACACGAACGCGGCATTGTCCACCGAGATATCAAGCCAGAGAATATCCTGTTTGATCCTATTCCAATTATACCATCCAAAAAGACTCAGAACTTGTTTGATGAGGACAAGGTGGATGAAGGCGAATTCACTCTAGGCGTGGGTGGTGGTGGTATTGGACGTGTCAAGGTGGCTGATTTTGGATTGAGCAAGGTAAGAAAGAAATGACGACATGACCATGTATGAAGATGATGATGATTGTTGATGTTGATGTAATCTCTATTAGGTGATTTGGGATGATGCGACAAAGACACCTTGTGGCACTGTGGGTTATACCGCACCTGAGATTGTACGCGATCAACGCTATCATAAGGGCGTGGACATGTGGGCATTGGGCTGTGTCTTGTATACGATGCTTTGCGGCTTCCCTCCATTTTATGATGAATCGATTCCAGCACTTACGCAAAAGGTTGCCAGGGGACAATACACATTTCTAAGCCCTTGGTGGGATCCTATCTCTGATTCGGCAAAGGAGCTTATCACCCATTTACTATGCGTTGATCCCAATGAACGATACACAGTCGATGAGTTTCTCAACCACCCATGGATAACACAAAAAAAGGCACCTGCTATCTCGGTACCAGCCGTCGCTTCAACTCCCACATCGATGATACCCCCAGACTTTATGGATACCACAACACCATCATCAGGTAGCCGACGACGTAAGGATATCTTTTCACCCGGTGTGGCATCCATCAAGGAGATTCTCGACATTACTTATGCTGTGCAACGCATTGGCGAAGAAAAGGCTCAACAACTTGGTGGACTCGCTGAGGAGGATGAAGAAGATGAAGAAGATGAAGACGAACAACGAATGAGAGCCACACATCATGCTATGCCTACTGCAGCTCAAGGCGGTTTTGCATTGGATATGAGCAAGGCTACCATATTAAAAAAGAGACAAAAGGCAACTGCTTAAAAATTGGCCATCAAAGATGCATCTTTAATTTGTACGATATGATATGTAAAAGAAAAGAATAGAATTGTGCTACATTAATATATATTTGTTGTAAATGAGAGTACGTTTATGCAAGACGCTTGGGAAGACCTTGAGCATTGAGGAGAGAATCATCTGGGTTGGCAAGAACACGTGGGCCATCATCCACCTTTGTGTGAAGCAATCGACTCACACTTCCAGCAGGGAAAACAGGAATCACATTTTCATTGAAAGTAGAGTGAGCCTTGGGGATAAAGTCTTGACCAAGAGGAGCATCACCAATGACCTTGTAGGGATCGGTAAAGTAAGTGCCGATAGTACCAGGGAAGTAGTGAGCAACCAATTGGATAATCTCGCGCATATTCTCCTTGTTGGCGTAAATGACAGCATTCGGTCCAGCGTCATAGGTATAAGCAGCCTTGAGTTTTCCATCGGGGGAGGAGTTGTTGTATTCATGAATAAGGGCCATGATAGCACGAGAAGTATCGGTTTGATACGAGATGGGAGGATAAGTATCAAGGCACACAGCATGGAATTGGTTGGAATCACGCATGGTAAGTTCGGCAAATGATTGGAAATCACGCTCGTGAATAGCCTTCTTCATGGCATCCATACGACCAGGAACACAACGAAGACGCTCTGCCATCAAGGGGCTCGTTTCAATGGTGCTCTGCATACCCTTGGTGGAGGAAGTACCCTTTTTGGCATCAGATACAACACAAATCAATGCTTCAAGCTCGGGCCAATGGGACTCGGGTGCCACTTGTACAGCCAACGAATCTGATCCATCTGCTTCTTGTCCCATTTGCCATGCAACGAAACCACCAAACAACGAACGGCAAGCGGATCCGGAACCTTGACGTGCAATACGAGTCAATTCAGAGGTGCTGATATCCAATTCAAACAATTGCGCAAGCGTATACACCAAGGCAGCAAGACCCGAAGCAGAAGACGCCAATCCAGCAGCCGTAGGGAAGTTGTTCTCGGAACACACATGCAACTTGTAGGTCGACAAAGGCTCAAGGTCGGCATTGGCTTGCTCCATCTTGGCTCTCAAGGCACGCGTCTCCCGGAAGCAGTTGTGCATGCGGCGATTCTTGGTAATGTCCTCCTCCTTGCCATTCAACCACAAGCGGTCTTCGGTGAACTCCTTGCTAGCTGCAATCGATGTCTTGCTGTGAAGAATGTCTTGCGACAAGGTGACAGAGAGCGAATCGTTGGTGGGCAAGATGAGCTCAGTATCGCGTTTACCCCAATACTTGATGACCTGTTATCGCGAAACCCCATGAGTGTTTATTCTACAATAAAGTCCATAAGTGTAACTTACAGCGATATTAACGGGTGCAGTGCAAGTGACAGACTTCATGGTTGAAAGAAATGACGGTGGAGAAAGAGAAAAAGGAACGAGAAAACGACCCAAGTTTATTGACAGCTGTGAGCGGAGTCAGTCTAATAAGAATGGCAGGTTTGGAAAGCAGTAAAGTGTGCATCTTGCTGCAATCATCATTGGTTTGAAGCAGCAGCCTCCTCAAGACGAGATAAACAGGTTGATTTTCCCAAGATCTCCATCGTTAATGGAATAGAGGCTCCCACAGATCGTCCCGTAATTGCATATCGCAATGTTGGCATCACTTGATTATAACTCACACCGTTCTCCTTGGCCAAATCATTCCAATATCGATTAATAGATACGCTGTCAAATTGATCCAGTGCTTCAAATCCTTGACGTGCTTCTTTTGAGTACACGAGATCTATCAAAATACTATTAGCCGATGCATTCAAGTAAGGGAGGATCACCATTTTTACCTTTGGCCTTTGCTTTTAGTCGCTTCTTCAAGGTCTGTGCCTCGTCGGCAGTATAGTCAGGCTTAACAAAGAAATAGTTGCAGTATTCAAGAACATCGGATGTTAAACGAATGCGTTCCTGATAGAAGATAAATGAGCCATTTCATCTAAGAGTAACCTTTTTTCTCTTTCTCTCTTCTCTTACCTTTACACAACCAATTACTTTTGAAATGTAATCCACGCTTAGCCGATAAAGATGCTTGCCATTTGGATCCAATGCCTTAACTCTAAAAAGTTAGAAGTGGTTAGCATCCATCATTCCATCATCCTTGATGTCTTGTGAAGCACTTACTTGTCTCCAAATTTGTCATTTACAAGTGGATGCAATTGTTCTGCCATGGATTGTGTCCCTTCAGGTGTTTCAGCCCGTTTCAATAAATGTTGTTTGTTGATCCATAAAAGCTTGTTCACATCCACCACCGCTTGAGAATCATTGAGCTCTCCAATATCAAACTAGTAGTCGTGAGTAAGAACAATTGCCTACTACTACCACGACTCCTATAAATACAAACCTTATCCACCAATTCGTCCATGGATGTGAGAATTTCGCTTCCACCAGCAGGGGGACTCCATCCCAGGAGAGCCACAAAGTTGTTGAGTGCTTCGGGGAAATAGCCTTGTTCAATGTAATGCTCAACATAGGCATCGTTGGAGCGTTTTGAGAGCTTGCCACCACCAGGCTTCATCAACAAGGGTAAATGTACAAATCGAGGTGACCTCCATCCAAATGCATTGTATAGGATGATGTGCTTGGGTGTTGAAGGCAACCATTCATCTCCTCGTAAGACATGCGATATCCCCATCAAATGATCGTCGACAACGTTCGCCAAATGGTATGTTGGAAACCCATCACTCTTGATGAGAACGCTATCATCAAGAAGACGATTGGCAAATGTCACTGGACCATGCACCATATCGTCCACTTTGGTCTCGCCTTCTGGTGTCTACATCATATCCTCTTGTTATTATCATCAAGACCAACAACAACAACAACCATGATCCAATCCTTACCCTTAATCGGATGGTATAAGGGAGCTGCTTTTCCATGTTTTCCTTGATTTGCTGCTCGCTAAGGTGTGCACAATGTCGATCGTAGCCAATTTGGTTTCCAGTCTTTTGCCCAAGTTTTCGGATACGATCCAGTCGCTCCGGAGTACAAAAGCATCTATACGCATGACCAGACTTGGTAGTGATCCATTAATGCCCCATTCTTATTGTCATCCATGCCATGATTTACTTTACCTCCACAAGTTGACGGGCATGTTCTCGGTAGATATCGGTTCGCTTCGATTGTACATAAGGACCACATGCGCCTCCTACATCAGGGCCTACATAGCATCTCGATAAGTGACAATTCCAATTGGGTCACAAGGGATTATTGTTATTATACCTTCATCCAACTTGATGCCAGCCCATGATAGTACAGAAATAAGCTTCTCAGTTGCCCCTGGTACTAGCCGAGTCTAAAATGCGCACTTTTAATACCACTTGTATACATAGAGTAGTAGCAGACCCCAACGTGGTACCTGATCGGTGTCTTCGATGCGTAGAATGAAATCGCCCCCTGTCTTTTTGGCCAAGAGGTAATTGAACAAGGCTGTGCGTAAACCACCGAGGTGAAGGTGTCCAGTAGGGCTTGGAGCGAAACGGACTCGAACAGGTTGTTGTTTTGTTGTTGTTGTTGTTGTTGGTATAGACACTTCAGCGACTCCATTTGTATACAGTCTCACGTGGAATCTCGGTCGAGTTGCAGCGATCGTGGAATGTATTCGAGTTGACAGTCGAAGCATGGTTTGTGGAGCGTCAAAAGATAAAGATTGGGATCGGAGAATGTGAACCAGGATCCAAGCAAAAGGCACTCGCCCCATCCCCCATTGACTCGTGACTTGCCACAACCACTTGACAAGATGATCCCTTCTCCCATTGTTCAGATACGAACCCCCATTCACATGGATAGGCTGATATAGGAAATTGAATAAATGTATTGTATTGCACATGTAAAATGATGTATGGATATCCTTATGATCGATTTGGAGAATGGCACTCAAATGATGATGATATAGAAGATGCTGTAGCAGCTGCGGAAGATGGACGGGGTTGTTGTTGCTGTTGTTGTTGTTGTTGCTGTGAGGAAGAGGAGAATGGTGATGATGACGACGATGCAAAGACACGCTTGACCATTTCATTTCTAGCAACGATGTTAACCCTATTGGCATTCCATCATGGATGGATCCATTTTCATTTACCTTGTCTTAAAGTTGAAGATGGTTTCTCGCAAGTTGTCAAGATTCCTTACAGGCTGCAGGCTTTCAATAGCTTCATTTCTATATTGATAAATGAGTTGATGCAGCAATGGACAAATGATGTACACTTACGCTTTCGGTGCAGACACACCTTCAATGGTCATCAAGCCTGTACCATCATGGGCACCATCAAATTGATCATACACTGTACTATTGTGGTCTAGTCGACAATCGATAACTTGAAAGTGTGGGCTGTAACTATCGATTTCGCTTAGTTGAGCATTGTCGTCCAAATCGACAAGAATGAGATTCTCCTTGGTGACCTCTGGAAACGGCTCATCCTCAAAGACGTAATGGACAATGGGATGTTTGTAGGTGTTGTGGACTTGATCACGAATAACGACAAATTGAGGGATATCACTGCTGTGGTTTGCACTACTCATAGTCACTGGTATATGTATGTGTGAGAGAATAAAGTACGCTTTATTGAAATGCAACTGAAATTCATGCCCCTGCGATGAGCGAACATGTGCGGGATCAGAAATTCAGCATGGTCCGTTCCAATCTTGTTGCTGAATGCGTAAAGCAGGCTTGAGGGTACGATCTTGGGCATGTAAAAATCCAAAATGTCCTTCCACATCATTCTTGTATGGCTCATCAATGGCTGAAAACCACAACATGTCGATCCCTGCTTGTTGTGTACGACACAAGATCTCTCGCATATACCTTGATTGAGTCATTGTTGTTGTTGTTAGTGATGGTGTGTGGTGGATTCATTGTTATCATCGCCATTTACCTTTGTTGGTTCTCAGGAGATGGCACTGATTCCATGTAATTGGCTCCTGCAGTAGGCCATCCTGTTTCGGATATCCTGACAACCTTTCCACTGGCTTTATTCACTGCTTCATGATAATGATCCAGGACTGTATTGGCGGCATTGTCAATGGATACACCCTCCCAATATGGAAATACATTGCTAACAAACACCTCTTTTTGTTAAGCGATTGAAATAATCCAATTTCCAGTAGCTTACATCATGACAAAATCAATCTCATTGGCAAGCTCAGGTGTGATTTTGTTGAAAGTATCCGCCGAAGTAATGGGTATATTGTATCCTTGCATTGCGTTCCTCACACGGCGAATACGATCAATAAGGTAACCTAGACTTTGATCTTCACGATAAAGCACTTCTGAGCCAACAATGATGCCATCCACATTGTCCAGATTGTGGTGCTCGATAGCTCGTTGCAAGCTGGCGAATTCTTTATCGAACGTCTCTGGATGCTCATCAATCCAAATACCAAGATAGAGTCGCATGCCCAAGGATTGTGTGGCCTGTAATGCCAACTCAGCTGTAGAAAAAAAAGTGTGTAAGTGGTTAGCGATATGATAAACTTGATGAGAGAAAAGTGAGACCTTGGTTGCATAAGTCAGCACCAAAGATACGAATACGATCGGTGTATTGATGCAATATGGCAAAGTCATTGGTCATATCTTCCAACGTTGGACATGTTATAGGATCTACACCATAATCGACGCCGTAGAAATGCTGTGCATGAATGCAAGAAAAGTACAATGCAAGTATGATGAATGCGAACATGAGAATGGGTATATGCAAAAAAACAGACGAATGGATGGCGAATCGGTGGTTTTATATTTGTGTATTAGAATTGTAGAATGTAATATGAACAAATTGTAGCCAACAAGTGATCCTGATACACGCACGCACGCACACAATGACCCCCTTGTCCCTGAGTGTAATGAATCAAGGAACGAAAGGAGGTTGGTTAATCAATGACAGAATTTATTGCATTCAACCCATATCTCTTAGGCAAATGTCAGCTTGGTTTCGCCGTGTCTGTTGTGGATTGCGATAAAAGAACCAGTGTCGTCGGCCTTGTAATAACCCTTCTTGAGATCGTGTCTGTACTTTGTAATATGCAAGTCCTTTGGATTGGGTGCTTGAACAGCAGGTGTACCTTGATGCGAGCTGTGTACAACAAATCCGCCCTCATAGACATTGGCAGGCTAATAAAAAAAGTGGTGAATGATCAAATCAAGTATCATTTTGGGAATGGGGACGGGATACTTACCACCTTGACTGAAGCCTGACCACGACCCACAATGGAGGTAATACGAGTCTCTTCAACGATGGGCTTAGCAGTGAACTCGGTAGTGCCATGAAGAACGCCGGCAGCTAACTTTTTGGAAGCTGAATAGTTGCCACGAATATGACCGGACAAGACACCAAGCTTGGCAAATTGAGCATTAAGACCCTGAGAAAGAAAACATAGAATGTTGAGCAAATTGAACTTAAACACACGTATGTAGAGAAAAACTTACACCAAAGTTGAGGTAACCACGGCCGACACCTGCAATGAATCGATCAAAGACAACCGTTTGCAAACCACTGCAGCTGCCAACATGAGCATCCTTGGCACGCAAATCGAACTCTTCAAAAGACTCCAAAGCAGCGGGTAAAATAACCTCGACCTTGTATTTGACACACAAATCACCAGGAGCACCAGGAGGAAGCTTGTTGTCTTCTCTCTTGAATGGGTGACGAGGAAGGTCACGACGCATTTCCACAACGTATTGGCCATCATGGTCGAATGCTGAAAGAGTCACCTTATCACGGGCGGAGTCGCTGCCGTGCAACACTGTAACCTTGACCTTGATGTCGTTGATGTTCTTGTTGCCCGACTTTGTAAAATAAACATCACCGCTATCAACAAAGCCATGGCCAATGTAAAGAGCAGCACGATTGAATTCCTCGGGAGAAAAGCTGTACACGGTGGAGGTAGCATTCAATTCAACATTGGGAGGACAAAACGAGTGTGGGGGAGGACCTTGGAATCGTTGGATGAGTTGATGTTCTTTTCCTTCCTCCTTCTTGACATCACTTGGTGGAGGTGGTGGAGGTGGAGGAGCTGCACATGGACATCCCTTTGGTTCATCATGATGAGGTTGATCACGACGAGGCATAGGCGTACGACGATGGCGATGTTCAAAGCTGGGAAGGTTTTCCATATCGCGCTGTTGATGTTGATGTTTGTGATGGTGATGCTTATGATGATGATGATGCTGCTTCTTGTGCTTATGATGATCACCCTTCTTTACATCTTTTGTTGTAGGATGATGTGGACAGCATTCGGGAGCAAATTGGGGCTTGTGATGAGGTGCAAGCGTTGTTTGCAAGGAGCTCATGAAATCGGCAAGCTCATCCACTTGTTCGTAACCAGGTGCGTCCTTGGGATAGCCAAAGTTGCCAACAGGGTGCTTGACGTCAAAAGGAGATGATGCGTGCTCAAGAGCAACCTGGTCGGTATGCTACATTCAATATAAGCTCATTGCGACCTCAATGCTAACATTGACATGTGTGAGAGAGTGTGTGTACCTGCGATGAAGAGGTCCAATGGGAGACGGCATTGTAAGTCAACAAGGCAACAGCACCTCCAATCAAGAGAGCCTTAACGTAGCAGAATCCTTATGAAAAAGAAGAGATTAAAGACCATGATGATGTTGTGTATATCTAATTAAGTTACATACGACGACGACGACAAGGTTGAGCACCATTAGTGCAATGGGAACATGGAGCAGGAGTTGGAGTGGGTGGATGTTGATAATCGGTAGTGGGCACTGCCACATACTCGGCCTTCTTTTCATCCATGATGATGATTGTAAAGGAATTGAAGAAAAAGAAAGAAGAGATAAAGATCCCGCCGCTGCCCATGCAGACTCGTGTCTTTTTTGCCAAGAGCCGGCAGCTCCCCGCTGGCAATTTGTGTCACCTTTAATGCTAATCATGCACCTGCAGTTAATCAACCGCGGCTTTCTTGACAGCGTAGCTTACGTTAAATCGATGCCAAGGCTTTTGCCCACTTATAACTCCATACCTATTTGCTCTTGCTATTACATAATATTGGTATCATACAGGACACTTCATGCATTGATCCCGCCCGAGAGATTATTGTTGTTGTAACACAATGAACAAATGTATCACTATCATTGCACCACTATCCTAAAGGTAGAATACTACAGCTGTTGCCTCAACCTGTTCAGAGATCAGGTGCTATCCCAAAGATGCATGGGACATTACATCGTGTGTCGCACGCAACAATGTATATACCAAAGCATTATGCTTAGTTTTTGTTATTGCGGTACATGTACACAAGAAGGATTGAGATGATGAATGACGCGAAACCTGGTTCGTATGCTACATGCCCAGTATAAGTGTTGATTCCAATAAATGAATTGACAACATTCATATACCTGCAAGTAAACGTCCGTGAGTGACAGTATTGGTAACAAACCATAGAGCCGAGTAAACAACCACCGAAGTAACCACCGAAGCAACGGCCGCAAGTAGAAGAGTCAAGAAGTCTATTTAAATTACGTCAAAGATGGTACGTATATAGTTGTTTATGAACACATACCATGTTGACAAGGTTGAGCAGTAGTAGTAGGCATTAACACATCCCAAGAATTATGAACAAAGAGAGAAAGAGAGAACCAGAATGAGTGCGTAACCAAGTAGGTAGTCACGAAGGAGGCAACTCCAATCATTAGAACCATGAAACCTATCTTTATAATATTAAAGGCGGGCCCATATATATGGTTGGTTGTCTATGAATACGCACGATAACGATGATATGAAGGTTGAGCTCCACTAGTAGTGCAATGGGAAGATGGATTAGGAGCTAGAGTGGGTAGATGCTGGTAATCGATGGTGGGAACAGCCACACACTCGGCCTTCTTTTCATCCATGATGATGGTTGTAAGGAATTGAAGAACAAGAAGAGGTAAAGATGCAGACACGTGTATCTTTTTGCAGCTCCCCGCTGGCGACTTGTGTCACCCTTAATGCTAAGCATGGAGTGAATCAATCGCAGCAAAGCTATTTTGGCTGTGATTCCATACTACCAAGGCTCTTTCATCCGATAATCTGATATGTTTTCTTATCCATCATCATATTATGCTGATAGCATACAAAAGTATACATCCATTGTCTTCATCCAAAGAAAGCAATAATGCTTGTAACATGATGACGAATAAATGTAGTAGCACTACAACCAATCTGGAAAGTGTAATGCAATGGTTGCCTACTTGGTTCAAATATCAGGTGCATTCATTGATTGATACTTGACACAATGCATTAGCTCATGATATTGCATTGAGCACAACAAACATGTACCGATGTAAGCTTGTTTTGTTATTGTGGTACATGAATGAGTTCGCTCAATGCAAGAAAAGGTGTTGTCGAGAGTTGAAACACAGCATGTTGCTCGCGTGGTTTATCACGTCAAAAAGCATGTTTACCCCCCAACTCTCCTCCCTTTCTCTATTTTTTTCTCACTTGTACATCTCACGTGAACGAGAATAAACATTCTTTGGAACATTATGGAATCTTTGTAATAATGAAACATAAAAGCGAGGGATAGCCAATCAAATGATGGGTTGAAAAGGGGGAGAAAGAAGGATGAAAGAGCTATGTATTAAAAAGAGAGTAATAGATGTAGATATCATTATTAATGAACCAACGGGAAGGATGATGAGAGAAACCAAAAAAAGAAAGAGATGGATGATGATGGGTGGATATGTATAGAAAACGAGAAAAGGTCCGGGCCGGACAAGGGTCAAAATTTTTCTCTTCCTGCAGTGTAAAAGCCATCCACCAGGAAGTGTGTGTGCCTCTTTTGCTCTCTTTCATTCATTGGGTCTCCGAAAGCTGGTACACCGTTTCGCTCTCTGGTCTTTTGTTTCTAGTCCTCTCCTTACCTGTACTTGCTATAGCCACTTCTTGCTGAGATTCATTCCGCATTTTAACCTTCGAGTTGTCATTCGCCTGTGCAACCCTGGAATCCGCTTTTTCTTGTCGAAACCCAATCCTCGAATCGAGTAAACGCCATCTGTAAACACCCTTCACTCGTCTCTTTGTACGTTGATTGCCACAAAGTAAACTTGCTTGGTTCTCACACTCAATGGTTACTAACACGTCGTCTATAGCAACTTGACCATGCAATTTATTCATTCGTCTCAGTTCTATGGTGGCTACAATGCCTCGCAACAGCAAGCTTTGCAACAGCAAGGTCAACAAGGTCAACAGCCACAACAACCTCACTCGCCACATACCTCCCAGTCACCGGCCACGTCGAGTGCCGCTGTTGATCAGCAGCAACAACAGCCACCACAACCACAAGGATTGTCTCTTCCTGTTGCTGCTCTTCAAAGTTTCGCTCAAGCCAATGGTATCCCTGTTCAAGCAGCACCTGAATTGAATGCTCAAGGCAAGCCAAAGAGAAAGCAGGTCAAGAATGCTTGTGGTAAGTGTGTATATATACATTCTTTGTGGATAAGAGGATCCAAAGACTGATAAGGGTGTATGTGTGTGGGGACTACTAGTCAATTGTCAAAAGGCTTGCAAAAAGTGTGATGATGGACGACCATGCCAACGTTGTATAAAGTATGGATTGCAAGACACGTGTGTCAATTCTGTTCGTAAGGAACGCAAAAAGGGAATCAAACGAGGACCATACAAGAAGCGAAAACAAGGTAGGACAAATATAACAGTAAGCTAAGGGGGGGATAAGGATACTAAACCTTATATGCGTTATGTATAGCAGATGGTGGTTCTACTGATGGTTCGGCTGCTTCTACACCTGCAACATCACTTCCTGCTGGTTTGTATGCTCCGACAACTCAAGGTTCAGCAGCAGGTGTGCGTACTGCCAATGGTGTCCTTGCTTATCCATCATTCCAATCGGGAACCTATGATGCTGCTTTCCATGCAGCTGCTGTCAGCTATCAAAACTCAGCTTCCATGATTCCACATGCTTATATGGTTCCTGCAGCTATTCAGCAAATGTACCCTCCCAACACAATGCTTTCTTATCAAGCTGCCATGAACATGCTTTCGCCTCAACATGGCCAACCTTCTCCAAACATCTATGGCTATCGTCCCGACGCAGCCTCCTCCCAACAACAACAACAGCAACAGCAACAACAACAAGCACCCCAGCAACAACAAGAGGCTGATGCGCAAAGTGCACAACATCGATCCCATGAAGGTAGCCCTGCTACTCCCAATGGTGTTGGTACTCCAAACAGCAACCCCATCAAGCCTGAAACTACCACCGAGTCGGATGATGAAGGTTCCAAGCTTAACATCCTCTCGCAACTTTGCAGCGCCGTGTTAGATCGAACACCCGATACATCTAATGCAACCACCACCACTACCACGCCAGCTGTCTCTCAGGCATCCACTACTACCACTACTACTACCACCACTACCAATGCCGCTACCACCACCACCACCACTAGCCCAACCACTACATCGGCCCCTATCAAGTCAGAGCAAGTGGAGGAGCAAAAATCAGATGATCAACCATTGGCGGCCAATGTAAAACTCGAGACAAAGGACACCACCACCTCTTCACCACCCAAGGAGACGACTCAAGAAACTTCCAATGAAGAAGGTGATGTTGTAAAGAAGGAAGAGTAAGTCTTTGGATAAAAATGGGGAGATACAAGGGAAGCCAGTTTACTTATAGGTTGTGTATTAGACCATCTTGCTAGTAACCATCATGGAAATACCATGCGTTTTATATAGACGACTCTTGTACGACACATCAAAACACACACACTCACACTCAACACTCACCAGCACACACTCTCACACACAATACACCCCATCATGACCCTATCTCTATCTCACTCTATCTCTCTCTCTCTCTGTATCGTCTTTTTTTTTCATCAACCATTGGCAGCAACATTGCAGCTACTTTTTTTTTCTCTCTCCCATCTAACCCTTGGCGGATTGTTATTCAATTTTTTTGTTTTTTTTTTCTCCTTATCAAAAGGGCAGGCGCACACAACTATATACACACACAACTCATCTATAATGAAAAGGGACAAACCAGTCACTGTTTAAAAAAATGGCATAATACGATTGAAGTCTATGTAAATGATAAATGTGGTTATAGTACATTGCATGAGTGAGGTAATGGTGATGGTGGTGGTATGAATGAATGATGGGTGTATGTCTCTATTCTATCTCGGTTTTGGGCTCTGTCGTCGTTGTAGTAGTAGGTGAGGAGCTAGGTTTGGGAGACCCATGACCATTGTCATCATCATCATTGTCGTCATTTGGCATTGAATGAGGTTGTGGTGCTGAAGCAGAAGGTAAACTTCCAATGGTTGAAGTAGAAAGGGAAGGTTGTGGATGGACAAAGTTGGGATTAGCGTTGGGCATCACAAATCCACCAGGGCCTAAGAAAGGACTACCGTGTGGTGATAAATGAGTGGGTGGATGATGATGTTGACGGGCCATTTCTTCATAAGGACGAGGAGGAGTATAATGCTGATAGAATTGATACATGTTGTGTGGCTGTTGATCAAAGAGCAAAGGTGAAAATCCACCAACACCAATGGATGGAGGTCCAAAGACACCAAATGCTCCAGAATTGCGATTACTACCAGGAGGACTATTGGGTGCACTGCTGGTGGGTGTGATAGTGTTGCTGTTGATAGGCTCATCAGGTTTAAAGGAATGATCAGGATGAGGTGTTGTAGGTGTGTCGTGGGGCTGCTGCACCATTACAGGTTCTTGTTGCTGTTCTTCATCCACCTCATCCGGTACATTGGGCTTTTCCTCTTCCACTTGATCCTCATCATCCTTCTTTTTTGGTGGTAGTGCTGGTAATTGTTTGTCTTCAACCGAACGATCAGCAACGAGTGGGTTTTGGCCATGATGTGATGTGAGTGTACGACGTAGTTTGGTGCCATCAGGTCTCCAATTGGTGATGGATCGTTTGGCGTCTTTGACAATACGTGTGGTTTGTTCAGTGCCTATATGAAAATGCGCATTCATCAGTACCCTTCTTCTTCAATACCAAGAAAGAGAGAGAGAGATTTACCTTTATAAGGTGGACGTTCTTCACCAGGCTGAACAGGGGTTACATCGAGCTCATCCACAATGTATTTGCCAAAGGATGCGATAATGTCCATTTTGCTTGCGAATTCATGCATCCCGTTCAACAAGAGGTACATGGCTTCTCGAGTAGCAATGCGTTGAAAATTGCTTGCATTCACCTCGGCAGGTTCATTGGTACGCTCCAGCTCGGCCAATTGCTCCTTGAGTTCCATCAACTTATCCACTTGACCAGGATGATTTTCCTCATGCTTGCGAATGGTCTCTTGCAATCGTTGACGCTTTTCTCGACCCCCAAGTACGGTTGCCTCCTTATCGGCAATGGATTTCATCGTAGCATGGTATTGATCATATTGCCCTACATCCATTCATATGTCCTTAATACCTTACTCTCTATGATGAAAAGAGGGGACATCTACTTACCAGCAAAATCGGTCATGATTTCAGCCCACTCGGTCAATAAGTCTCCCAATTTGCTTGTGACATCCTAAAAGAGAATAGAGAGAGAGTTAGCTCATACAGTGTGTGTATTATCAGTGCTCGAAGAAGCCATACTGTGAGATCGTCACCCAAGGGATGACCAAACATTTTGAGATGGTTGGCTGCAATGCGGCGATCATCAGCGAGACGTAACCATGCGGCGCCAATCTTGCGTTCAGACTCAAGATAGGTGGTCAAGTTTTTGTCTTCAGGAGTCTTGTTGCTGCCTGTCAGCGCGTGGAAGGGATTGAAAGAAAACATAAAGAAGGAAAAAAGGTTACATCGCGTGGCATCGGAAGATGGCCCCCGTATTTCTACCCCTTCGCATGGAAATACAGAAAAGGAAAAACGCGTGCGGGATATCATACGTCATAGGTATGTGAATGATCTCATGATACAATATCACCTCTTGCCACATGTACATGGCGTGTCAACTTGCTGCTGCTGCTGCTGCGCGTATTCATGTACTATGTTTAGTATTTTGTAGCTTTTACTTTATCCGTGGCTTCTTTACACACAAAAATTGCTGGATCCTCTCTTAAAGTTGGTTCGGTTACACAAACAATGGTTCCTGGGATTTCTCGGAACGTTTTCCGTAGCATTCGGTGGCGCCATCATGGTGCTCTGTTTATGTTTGATACATCACTCATCCATTTGACACTACTATTATGATCAAGTAGAACCGTTACAATGATGTACAATTGAACAAGGAGTTGTTTATGGCAAATAAGAATAAAGAAGAGATGAATGAGATATCATTATCAGATGTTTTATATTGTACAAGATGTGTATGATGATGAAGGATGTTCTATTTCGGCTACTTTCGACTCTTTTGCTTCTTTTTGGATGCCGATTTAGCTTCAAGTTCACAAGCTTTGATCCTTGAATCGTAATACTCGATGGATCGTTGGACAATCTTCTTCTCACTAATGTAGCAAGTAAGAGCGTAATATTGTCGCTTGTTGCTCGTCTACGAACATCATGATTAGACCTTTATACTTTCAGACCTACTTTGGTGTTTGTATTACATACCTCGTTGTCTCGCTTTTGGATATCTTCCTCAATAGGTACCCATCGGCCGCTAGCATCCAAGTAATCTTGACGACGTAATTCTGACAAACGCTTGCATACGGTATACACCATCTTTTTGGTTTCAAGCAAATCACCGTTCTTCTTTTTGGCGCCATCCTCGCTGTCTTTGGCAAGCTGTTCAAAGTACTTGAGAGCTTCTTCAATGTTCTCTTGGAATTTGGCGAACAACTTTTCATCCACAAAGACAATGTGCAGCAAGCAAATGAGATTATCTTCATATAAGCCTTCAACATTGGCAAAGTAAGGGGGAGATCGATCTTCACCACCACCACAGCAGCCATCATCCTCGCAGCATCCATGATCGTGTTCCTCATCCTTGTCTTCAGAACCGCAGCAGCCGCCGTCATGCTCATGTTCATGCTCTTCTTCATCATGCTCTTCATCTTCATCTTCCTCATCATCCTCTTCATCATCTTCCTCGTCATCTTCCTTGGGGCAAAGGATAGGCTCGTTTGTCAAGAAGTACTCGAATCGCTCACGAACACGTTCCACAATTTGCTCGATCACTTCTTCACTTGCTTGACTGGTGCCGAAGAGCTCATCTCGTACAGTTTCAATGCATGTTGAAAAGACATTGTCTTGAGCAACAGAGATATAGTCATTCTTGTTGTCGTCGTGACAAAAGCCGTACTTGTTCAAGAGGATAACATTGGGGAGTGGACCATACGTGTTGAAAACTTCAGCACCAGCCTTGACGGGTTTATCCAACACCATGTCGCAGGTATCCTTATTCTCATCGTCATCATCTTCCTCGTCTTTCCAGAAATCAACTTTGGCGTTTTCAAGTTCCTCCAAATCTTGCAAGGCTTCATCCTCCTCCTCCTCAGCCTCCTCTTCTTCAACTGATGCTGCATCCTCCATATCATCATCATCATCATCACCTTCTACATCGCTCCATTCGTCCTCGTCTTCATCACCACTACCATGTTCAAGGTATTCGGCATATTGATGTTGGCAGTATTCCAATTCGCCACAGGCTTCGCATACGTCAAAGTCGGTTTGGAAATGAACATCTTCATCGCCACTACGATGATTGAAGATATCGGCAAAGGGGACCATGGCTGTCTCGTGATAGGTATCGACTTCAAATGCACGCGACGAGACCAAGGTTGAAATGCGACAAAACAATTCGAGGGTAAACTTGTCCTTTGGGAAAATGTAGGGATATTGTTCAACAAGAGGCATCACCACAGTCTCATAGTCATCGTTGAGGTCATTCTGATGTATATATCTATTAGCACCTGATGCAGTTGTTGATGTGTACATTGAATACATACCTGATCATTAAAGACGACATCCTCGAGCTCAGTGCCCTGAAACAACATTTTCTCGGCTTCGCTCCAGAAAATGGGAAGATCCTCGGAGAAAGGAAGAGCCTGCAAGTAACCATACCAAGGCGACTCGGTACCTTGAGCCAACTCATACATGACAGCAATAGAGAGGGCTGCACCACCTTCGATAGCTTCGTCTTCTAGAATGTTGGCAACACCCGTGGACTTTGCTGATAGGATACATGTCTTGGGGATCTTGACAACTGTACATACACACAAGATCGATCAGGTAAGGAAGGAACTCGATGTAGATCGATCGATGACTTACGGGTTTCATTCTCGGGACAGTCCTTCAAGGCGAATACACCAAAGCCACTGTCCACTGCACGAACGTCGATTTTTGTATTGTCCCAAGAAACTTTGTTGTCCTTGAACCACTCAAGTAGGATAGCGAGCTTGTCGTTTTCAACCATAACAAGAAAAAGATTTGATGCTCTTGCTACCTGAGCTGCACGCATAAGATTTTGTCTCCACCATTCAACAGCCGATCCACTCCACTCATTCACATACACTCATGATTTTGACAGGTGTCCATCCTGCTTATATTCATCCTTTGATTGAACACTACATATATTGGTAACCTCTTATCGTTTAGACATTGCCATAGATGACCTAATAAAAAGAGATTAATTATATACCAAAGTACTTGTCCTGTTGCCTTACATTTTGGATCCATGATTCAAGCGTGATAAAAGAGCATCTTCCAATGCCGATTGTGTGACGGATGCATTGGATGATTCTATATACGACACTATAAGAACCTTATCCCATTGCTTGTAACAATCATTTACCTAGGCTGATGGTTGATCTACTTGCTTCTTCATCTGATCTTCCAGCTTGCTGTTGTTGTTGTTGTTGTTGTCGCCGCCTTGCATGACCCAACGCAAAAGAAGAAGACTCATTGCGTTTTACAGGAAGAAAAGCAGGCTCCTCCATTTGTAATTGCTCAAACTGCTTTGCAAAAGCCTCATCACCATCCTCATCCTCTTCTTCATCCTCTTCTTGATCGTCTTCAAGTGATTGTTCAGCGGAATAATAGCTTCGACTGCTTTGTAATGAGCTCTTGTACAATGATTCCTCCACAACCGAAGCGACTGGTGGTACTCGAGGCTCCACATTGGATATTGTAGAGAGCATCATGGCATCATCTTTTACTAAACAAGCTGGTTAAGCACTCGTCTTATTCCATGGATCATTGAACAACATACCTGGTTTTGTTGTATTGGGCGTTGGCGTTGGTGTTGATTGATCATCTACTGTTTCACTACTACGAGGTGCTTTGTATATGTATCAATAAGGGGGATACCATTTGAATGAGGATATAGCTTACTTGATCGTCGGCTTGATTGACGTTGAGCAGGCGGAGGAGTCGTTGATTTATCATTCATGCGCAATTGCTGGTGGATTCCGCGTAGTTGGGTCTCGTAAATGAAAGCCGCATGACGCACAAGATACGATACAGGTACTTCAAGCTGCTCTGCAATATAGTTCCCTAATATTGTGTTATTAGTAGACAACTCCTAATAATGCTCTCCAAGTATGTCCTTACAGTCGGTATACTTTTGACTCATATATTGTCGTAGCCGCTGCTCCATTTCGTCAGTCCAGCGAATCTAGAATGGACCGATAAGCATTCCACACACACACATGGGTCAGCATCAAGAGCGAGAAAGAGAATGAAGAATAACCTGTGGTGGTTCAATGAAGCCCTGAGGACGCTTGAATGGCAAGCGAATGACGACATGAAGGGTGTCTTTTTCAAGCGACATTGGTGAACGTCTGGAGTTGAGGAGTCAAGCGGAAATAGGTTGGATGACCCCGCTTGTGATTTGAGAGCTGTGCACAAAAATGGGATTTTCGATACCATGACGCTCGCATATTGGTCGTATCTCAATTGAAGAACAAAAGAGGATCATGAACATCACAAGGCCCCATCCGGAAGTAGAGCCCTTTGTCAAATAAGATAATAAACGTAAGTACAATGAAGCGCTGCATTGTTTTTAAAGTGATGAATGAAATCAATTGAATGCTTATCTTGTATACCGTCCTTTTTCATGATGGTTCCCCTTCACAGCCATTGAGGCCTGTCACATGGATCAGAACGAATTGCAAATCAGCAGTCTATTATTGCCTAGATATCGATTTGCAGATAATTACTTTTTGATCATAAAGAGAGCCTTGATTGCAACCAAAACTAATGATGTTTATATAATTTCAGCTGACTAGGATGCAAATGACGACTATAGATACAAGCTATTTGACCGTCTCGGTGAATCTGGACTCTTTTGCCCATTCACTTGTTGCGAGGAAATGAAATCCAAATCATCCCAAAATGCCGGCGGTGTCCTTTCCCTTTTGAATCGTGATCGATGTCGTGATGATGACTGTATCCGTTCCTCAGGCGTTAATAACCTTCCATCTGGTCCAGGAAGTGCACCAGAAGCATTGTAGTACTAAGATAACAGGTATAAGGTGAGAAGTTGCACTACAAATGTGATCACGACTTCGCTTTACCTTGGAGCAGCATTTACAAGATGCACCGTGAAGCTTTGCTCTTTCGTCCTTTTTCCTAACGGTCTCGACATAGGGTTGCACTGATTGATTCTTGGTAGAGCTATCATTGATGATTAGTGATTTTTGCATTGATACTACCAATCCTCTCGTCAAATCCTGTATATACCTTGTCAAGCGTGTAGTTGAATGATTTGGATCTTTTTTGGATAGGGTATATGTACTTTTCTCGCTGCGATCTTGAGAAGGCAATATGTTCTGGTGTTGGCTTTCACCCAAGGGAGTCGGTTTGTGTTGTGCTGTATGAGGTCGCTTTTGTGTGGGTATCGAATCAAGTTGGTTTTGAGTGTGTACTGAATCAGAGTGCGTATGTGCTGGATCAGGTTGTGTATGGATAGGCTGGCGATATACTTGTATAGGATCCGTTTCTTTGCGTTCAACGGTACGTGAATGGCCGCCCTCCTGGTAGAATGTTTCCAATGCAGGAATTCCAAGTTGGTTGACGATACTATATTACCATGTTAGCGATCATGTATAAGCCATCCATCCATTCACAAGCACATATTCTTACAATGCCTCCATATCTTGGATCACTTGCTGTTGCCTCCTCACTTGATCCTGAAGTTTCTTGGTTTCCTCCCTTTGTCTCTCAATGGTCTCGCTTTGCAAAGTGTTTTTCTCCTGCAGGTCTCTCAACATGCGTTTTTGCTTGCCAAGTTCCTTTTCTGCACCTGCCAATCGCCCTACATTAGTCCTCTCCTTCATGTCCAAGGTTGATCTCAACGACTTACGTTCTTTGTGTCGTTCATATGTTCGTATTGTGTCCTGGTGGTCAGTCTTGATCTCCTCTAGTCCTAAATGCTGCCATGTCAATAAAGCAATGGGTAGGGTGGAGGGATTGCCTTACGATCTCTATGCACGTATTGGTCCATAATGCAGAGCAAGAGGGATTTACCGATGCACAGGCACACGCGAATTTATCCAATTTGGCATTTCCTGGTACATTTATGCTGCGCATCCATACACTGAGTACCTCCTCCAGAAATGCGTAAAGTACTTTTATCTCATGGCGACATGCCTACCCTTAGATCATAATAATAACAACTCCTTCCTTTCTCATTTGTAAATGCACAACCTTATTCAATGAAGCAATTCCCTTTCAAAATGATGCTATTTATGACCCTATTCAACCATCCATGAGTACAGATTGCCTGTTAGCAATCCTTTCTTCTATCTTCCTTGCATCCTAATTGATATTGTTGGTAACACACTTTATGCGACATTGCTTTGACAGCTACATCTTTGCAGGATGTTGATCGATATCCAATGCATGCATATCACAATGTAATCATGGGTTCAGTCTACTATTCATACGATGGAAAAGAATGCTCGTACGCCTCTGTAGATCATGGCAACGACCATTAATAAAAGGCAATGGTTATAAACGGGTTCGTAAAAACAATGGACAGGATTAAGTAAATCTCGGGAATAGAGCGAGACTGCCAAAATGTGACACGCCCATGCACATCCCGACACTTTTTTTGTGATGTTGTCAAAAACAAGATCGATCAAAACGAAATGAAGATCATCAAAAATCAGGATGATCTTCCCGGATAACACACATATCAAAATTTAATGTGCTCCAGGCGAGGATCGAACTCGCGACCTTCGTGTGCCTCTGGTATACGTGTAAGTATAAGCACGACGCTCTAAACCGCTGAGCTACAGGAGCCTCGCAAGCCACATGTGCTACAAAATAGATGGTGCCGTCACTTTCCTAATTGGGAAACACCTTCTTTATTGACATCATACGATAGCGGATATGTTGAGGAGTGTAATAGTGTAAATGGGAAGTGATTTGGGAGGCTCAATGTTGAGTAATTTGTATCCATAGCAACGTTCAAAGGGCAAAGGGCCAACCACGTTCGAGCTTGTTAGACCTCGTGGAAATTCCAAGTCAGATTCGCGAGAGTTGATTTGGCTCACCGACTGCTGCTGCCTCCTAGTCCTTGCCCTTTCTTTGTTCTCTTTACTGCAATCCCAATACCAATGCGTGTATTCTTATATCCAATTCGATTATTGCAGCCACGTCTTGTTCTCGTATGAATGGTAAGCCGACAGCTGGCAATGTTGGTGTCAAATGCTGATTGTCGACATTTGCTTCTTTTTAGCTACCAGCGCTTGCGCGTGTTGGCATGGCGACAAAATGAAGTAGTGGATATTCAACGACTGGAACGCATGGGACAACAACAGAGTGCTACATACCTCGAAATGGGACCCACTGTATCATTCACAGCTACAAGATACGCTACTTTTACCGAGTGCCAGCAAACATCCAGGTTGTGGTTCGTATCTGTGGCCTTGCAGCTGTTGCATGAAACTAAGAATTGTCATGGATGAAGCCCATATAGCAATTACAGCTGGCGAGGAAGATCAAATGAGAACGCACCCGATGATAGCTATATGGCAGATGTTTTACTAGCGGCCCTTGCAACAAACGCAATTGGTATGGAGAACCTAGTATGGGAACACCTGTTATCAGATGAGGATAGGTACTTCTACCTATGTCTTTTATAAGAAATTCTTATGCTGGTAAGTATTTTTGATATGGAGCGACTTTCATATGCTAATCATTCTCTTTTGCATTCCATATTAGCCGCTCTACACCAAAGGGTACGTTTTTAGTAAAAAGATGGTTTTGTATGAAGGCACATCGACTCACATGGCAGGGTATCCAGACTTAGGCCTTGCTGATTTCGTACCGGCTTCTTACGATTTAGGCGGCTGCATGCAAGAAGCGCCCTTGCATGTAATCAAGAAATTGGCCGGTGGCACGTAAGACTTTTTCGTCATATGCATTGTCAAAAACGTCACTAACTCATGTATTAGCTCGACGTGCATCCACTCCCACTACTGCAATGTTCTACCATGTGTACCGAAGGTCAATTCTTGTAAGGTTATACCTTAGGTTACTACCCAAACCTAGTTTCCTGGTTCCTCTTCTCGAGTATAAATCTTTCCTACACCGAGCACTGTGGTAGAGGGTATCATAATGATAGTGTGACTATGGTCATCGGTGAGTATCGTTACTCAACCGGGATTATGGAAGCGGTCTATGATGGAAAGATGGTTGGTACTCTTTGGTGGCTATCCAACCTTATTATGGGAGGAAAACGCGATATTGGAATATCCTTTACCACTCAAGATTACCTTGCCTGTCGGGTTTTCCAAGGTTATTCTTGCGACGGGTCGCATGACAAGGGATACCAAAGTCATAGTGGAGCAACTCATTGCATGCTTGGACGCCGATTATGAGCAGTGGCGTGGTCCTTTGCTTGTTGACAACAATAGTCGTCTGGATGACAGCTTCCCAAAGGCCGAAGGTCTTCTTTGCCTAGGACTCATATCATCAGTGACCAGGAGGTAACGTCATATTTGATGCATGTCAATCATTTCGTATTGGTATTGTTAACAAGAACCATAAATGTCATGTAGTGAATTTTATGGCTACGGCGATGACGGACGCTTGTGGATAACAATAGGACGCTTCGCACTAATTGTTGCTGAAGGGAGATTTCCTCGCGGCGGTTTTTACGATCGCCGAGTATCACTTACTCCATCACACATCTATCATACCCTTCCATGATTTGTGGCCCACGAAGCCTATCCTTCGCCAAAATCAAAACGAGTGGATACCATTACAAGAGACGTCTGCTCTAATGGTTAATGAAATGGGGTCTATGGTCGTGGCGTGTCTTATTGTCGTGTCCATGAATAATCACGTGTACCCATCACCCAGGCTCAGCTCGTGTATGGTTAGCCTTGGTTACTATCCAATCTTAGTTTCCTAGTTCATCTTCCCAAGAATAAACACCCTTACCGAGTATCACTTACTCCTATCACTTCTCCTACTACAACAATACACGAACACCTCACTTATACATCATATGATCACATGTACGACGAATGGCCGACAATGGCATTCTTAGATTTGTGGATAGGACTCTCATTTGGAATCATCCACAACAGCATCTTTCATATCGCCTCTTCGACAAAGCAAATATAAAGTCATGCTGCATTCATTCAAAACGTGTTGAACTGCAAAGCTCAATCATGATTCCTCTGTTGTATGCGTATGCCCGTGCTTATTGACGTATTACCAAAAAGACTACCACATAGCGATACCATTATCCTAATCTCCATTGCCCCTGATGACTTCCATAATCATTCTTTAAACATCAAGATACCAAACCAAACATCACATTTCTATTCTCGAATACCCAGCATGATACCCCATTGTCAATCCACATGTTCTCTTTGATGCTCTATTACATTTTTATATACAGATATGAATAAAAGGGACATTTAAGAACGTGATGCCATTTCCTTGCTAACTGCCTCATCCAATGTCTCTATGCTGTTGGTGAACTGCAATTTCTTCAAATCACGGACGACAGCCTTGGGAAGACCAGTGCTTTCAGAAATCTCCTTGACAGACATTTGTTGACCAGTTTTGGCGAATGTAGATGCGAGTGTCTTTACAGTCATTTCTCGCTTCAAATCGGTTGGGCCATCAATGTATTCGATCACTGCCATAGGTGCATTATCACCATAACGATTGCCGATGCGTTGTACACGAGTATATCCTCCTTGACGAGTAGCGAAACGTTGTGCCAATTCACCAAAAAGCTTAGGGATGGTTGTATCACGGCTCTATACATGACCACTTAGTCAATTGCTACTTTTCCATACGCTCCCTTTTTGCTTACGTTGAGGTAGCTCAGTGCCTGTTTACGAGCATTGACGTCGCCCTTTTTACCAAGTGTCACCATACGATCGGCGATGGGTTGGATCTCTTTGGCCTTGGCAACGGTGGTTTCGATGCGGCCATGTTCAATGAGGGAGGAGACGAGATTACGAAGCATAGCATTGCGGTGAGAGGAGGTGCGATTGAGTCGACGAAGATGCTTGCCGTGGTACATGGTGAAGAAGTGTTTTAGTGAAAGAGGAGCAAAGCAAACGTGACCGCCGGTATTTTATGTGGGGGGTTGGTGGATGGGTGGGTGGGTGGTATAAGCTCAACTCAATTGGTGAGGTCCGCTGCGTGTATATTACTAACTACTCTCTTCCACCCTGCCAACCATGTTTGCAACACCACGACTCGTCGCTCACAGCTTCAATTGGCAATGTAAACGTGTCGCTATCAGCAATGTCTTTGGAATTCAACTTGGTGGACGTCGCACCTACACAACGACCCTGAATGTGAAGGAAAAGGACGAGCTTCATACCGGCGATCGTTATGCTTCCATTCCCGATCGCAGTCTATTGGAAATTCAAGGACCAGATACAGCCAAGTTCTTGCAAGGTCTTATCACCAATAACATGCCTTCGATTGCCCAAGGAGGTGATGGATTCTTCACTTCATTCTTGACTCCTCAAGTATGTTATCTATGCATTGCATGGTTTATGTATGGTGCCATTGAAAACTCACGTGTGCGATAATGTTTATAGGGTCGCATGTTGTATGATGCTTTTATTTATCCTATCAACGATGGCAACGAGTTTCCTCAACCCAAGTTTATGATTGAATGTGCATCCACAGCAACGACAGGCTTATTGAAGCATCTCAAGCGTTACATCTTACGTTCCAAGGTCAAAGTAAGAGACGCCACTGAAGAATACAAGCTATGGAGCATTTGGGGTGATGGATTGACAACAATGAATGTCGACAATCGATTCTCCAACATTGGATGTGTGGATCCTCGTGTACCTGGATTTGGATATCGTGCTATTCTTCCTCAAGATCAGGGTAAGTCTTTTCTCATTGCATGAATCTTAGATTGATATTCATCGATTCATGTTTCTAGATATTGGCAGTATTCTTTCTTCCAAGGGTGATTTCAAGGAGCTCCCTTCATCCGAATATACCATCCGTCGTATCCTCCATGGCATCCCTGAAGGTGTAACGGATCTAGTTCCTGAACATGCATTGCCTCTTGAATCCAACTTTGATTACATGAATGGAGGTATGTAGATGGATGGCTACATAAACGAAGGACTAAACCAAACGTTTTACTCTAGTGAATTTCAACAAGGGATGTTATTTGGGACAAGAATTGACGATTCGTACACATCACACTGGCGTTGTACGCAAACGCATTGTACCTGTGCAATTTTACAAGAAGGATGAAAGGTTGGTAGTATAGCAGGAAGCAAATCCTATCATAAGCTCACAAGCAATACTCCCTAGTGTGCCATCAAGTCTTCAAGTGGATCGTGCATCATCCTATTGGCCTTCACCACTCGAACCACAAATGGATATCAAGCGTGCTGATGGTGCTAGCAAGCGTAGTGTGGGCAAATTGGGATCGGGTATTCACAACATTGGCCTTGCATTGATGCGACTCGAACACATAAAACCAGAGGTACAATTTGCGGTGCCTTCAGCAACCGATATGCAGCTACAACCCTTTATCCCTGAATGGTGGCCCAAAGAAGAAGAAGAGAAGCAGCATCAGTAAATAGCAAAATATGAACGAGCTTTATATCGATTGTATAGATAAATAAAACATGAATAGATTATTGAACAGCTACACTAATGCCCATGCCTTCACCTGCAGAGCCTGTGGATTTACGACGTGAATCATCTGTAGAGGAATTGGTTGAGAATCTTGTATTGTCAGGGCGTGGAGAAGAGGGAACCATCAAATGGCCTGATGCATCTTGCTGCACAACAGCACCAGCGAGATCAATGTCTTGCATATCATTGCTTGCTGCAGAGATGGAAGTGGATGGTGAAAGACGATCGAATTCGAGCATTGTGGGACTACCAGCCCAGCTACCCACGGGGGAAGAAATCATGGGCATGGATGGGCTTGGCAAAGGAGATTCAATGTTGGGTATGAATGAAGGTGGCTCAGGTTGTTCATCGAATGTACAAAGTGGTTGAGATAATTGTGAAGGAATGGGGAAACCAGCAGGAACGGTGGATACAAGGACCGGCAAGGATACAGTATTGATGATAGGTTGTGCATTGCCAAAGAAAGGCCATAAACTAGCGGATGGCGTTGAAGAGGCTGTAGTATCACTACCATGCGAGCTACCCGATATTGGTAGTGTAACAACAACTTCATAAGCAACTTCAAGGAACCTGCCAGCCTGTTGATGTTTGGTGGATGGGATCATGTCATCTGGCATATTGAAGCAAAACACCGATTGATGTTCCTTGGCATCTCTTGGGATGGCCACAAAGAAAGTTTCAGTCTGCAGCGTATGGTGCTTTGTGTTGTTTGGTTGCCCCGTCTCATCGTTCGTGGTTACTTTGCATACAAGTGATACATCCATGTGGCTAATTTTGTTGCCGGAACGGTTATTTGTCGTGAGTTTGACGGTGCATGGGTCGCCTGATTTGGACATTCATCCATCCATATACATGAGTTCAACGTATCATACGCAAAAATGCACAATGCCGATCATCCTCGTTTACGTACCTGGGCAATACGCTGGCTTGACAAGCTCTGCAGCAACTTCAACTTCAGCATCATCGCACTTGAAAATTTGGTTGTTCTTGGCACCATGTTGTGGACGATTGCTTCCTGGTAGGGGAATGCATGTGACAAACGGAAGATACATGATCGGAACACGTGCGCTTTCAATGCAGCTTGGTGCATGATCATCTTCTACGTCCAAGAACGCTTGTAATGTATATTCAACATGATGCTCAACATAGCTGCTGTGGATCGATGGTGGGTAATTCACAAAGGGCAGCTTGATAGCAAACAAGTACATGTGGCTTCCCTTGCCCAATTCAAGGTTCACACCCTCTATTGGAATGCGTGTAAGTATTCAAGGGGATATGTTTGTTTATGGAAGAGAGATAAAGAAATCCAACATGCCTGATCTTGCTTGTCCCCAAACATAGGCGTCCACGCTAAAGAGCGTGGTTCTTTCATTGCTTCCGCTTGCGTATTGCTCACATTTAAAGAGCACTTTGATATTGTGTGCATTCACAGGGCGGTCTAGAACAAGTACAGCAGAGCCTTACAATGACAATACGAATGAGTTGTTCAATCCATTACCACTTCTACTATTACAAGTTGCTTATCGTGAAGGAGCATACCATTGACTACTGAGCCAGGGCCAAATGCTACTACGCGGTCTTGGCCGCTGGGAATGACACTGAGGTTGAATGACTTTACAGGGTTCGCTGGTGCGGTCTTAGTGAAGAACATGGTTTTTTTTTTAAAAAAAGAAAGAGTGAGAAAATTCGAAAGGAAAGAGGGACGGCATTCTAGTTTTTAAATCATCTACATTGGGAATAGGGGGCTACTGTGTGAAAGAAAACAACATACACGCATTACATGTATACACGCGGTGCCCATAACAACATAACAACATACACGCAGCAAAACAATGGCGATCCCAGTGTTGCGGCTGTCTCGGCTTTTTACCCCTCCTTTCCCGCCACACGTCAAATCCGGTTTGTTCACTTGATACCACGCACTCGAGCTCCGCATCGGCAACATTACCAAACTTGGGATCCACCTTCTTTTTCTAGTACAAGAAGTGGTCGATTCGTAAGCACGGTCCCCCAAGGATGTGCCATTTGCCGTTGCTGACTGGTGGAAGAAAAAAATGCAGAGGACCCTACCAGGGCTTTTCTGGAAATGAACGTTGTCCCGCGGTTTCCCATTGTATTCCCGATACGACGAATAGATATAAAGCTCACCGTACCTGAAAGGTGGCAAAAGACAACATCTTCATATTTACCATTACCATGTACTCTCTCTTCTCTCGTTTCGCTGTTGGCTCCACCCTCACTCAAGTTGGCAAGAAGGCTCTTTTCGCCACTGCTGCAGGCGCTTTTGCATACAACTATGCACAAGAATGCAAGAATGATGTCTTTTACTTTAACAAGACAAAGTAAAAAAGACCCCAAGGCTCCACATTCTATCGCCCGGGATACACCCATGCAACGCCTATTTCATTTCATCCATACACAAGCTCACTGCATTCATCATCTGCATACCCCTCCATAATGTATAATAATACTTACACTAGCATCCAACATCCTACTTTTGCAAAATAACAATAGAACAAGCCATCTTGATATGGCGGTCATTTTTTTATGAAACATGTGTTTCGGGCAATGTTTGAAGCCTGCGCTCTGACCTTTTCCATTTCCACTTGAACCGATCGATTGGGTCCACAAAGCAACAAGCCACGTTGGCAACGTGCCAACGCCATCCTCCATGTTGCTTTTTCAATAGCTCGTGGAACGATGACGGATACACATTGGGAGGTTGTACCATAAATAACAAAAACAATGGTATTGTACATAAACGGCACAATGTTGGGGTCGAAAAGATAAAGGCCATTGACGATGGTTACGACCACCTGCTAGGCACATGCTCAAAAAAGATGAAACTTGGAACCAAAGCCCGTCCTTTGCCACCTGCATCTACCACCGTCTTGGCAATTCTAATGCATTTCCTCCTTTTTCTTTGTTCTAGAATGGCAATGAGCATGTTGTTGTGTGCCACACATCCACACATACGCAAAAAGTAGCATTCTATTTTTCCCTATTACCATCCCCAGCATATTAATTTTCATCATTTGTGCATGGTTTGCTAATAAAGCGGTTGTAATCGGCAGATCCATGCTTGAAACGTCGTCATGGTTGAATATATGCAAGTCGTTAGCCATACTCCGCCACCCACACTGCAAACTTTAAAGGCGAGCTGCATGCACCTTTACGAATAAGATGATCGGTCTGCATATGACGATGAGACACAAACTCTATGCGATACGCTGCGCAAACGTATGTAACCTTCTTTTATTACGCGGCATGTATGGATCACCCACCCATAGGCACTCACGTTCAATACATCCCACAAGTAATAGTAGTATCACAATGTGTGTTCATTATTGTCACAGATGGTATCATGCCGATCCTTGATCCGCCTCTTTCTCTTTTGCACTTAAATGGTGAAAAAGAGTTTAAAACCAAGCCAACAGCATATGACGTTGATGCGGTTCATCATGCCGACTCCAAAAGCGATTACGCTTTTTTCTTCTTGGGATTCCCTAAAGATGTTATATGAGTGTATATTGCAGTGGTCGTTTTAATAGGCGGATCCCCTCTCAAGTTCCCCCTTTTTGTACTTTATAGGTGACATTGTTTGCTATATTGGATCGACAAGTAACGACCATCGAGCTGTGTGTGTGCATAGATGTTGAGGCAAAGATCATGCCAGCAGCAAGCTGACCTTGGCATATGCAACAAACAATTGACCCTGAGAACGAAAAAGCAAATGAAATGCCCTTTTTGATGATTTGACTCTTGAGTGCTTCACTCTTGTTTTGCATCCAATCCATCATCCAATTTATTACCATAAAGGCCTTTGCAGGATGAAGGTAAGTGATCGACACGTTAGTTGTAGTCACCGTGCTGCTACCCGATCCATTACGAAGATGCAATCATCCACACATGCACTTTATACATATGCTGCCACTCAACTTGCCGAATGACACTTTTGATTCTGCCAAACAAAACAAAGGCTCTCTCACCTCCAATCCCTGCAGCCTACGCATACGCACACATATACATTGATCCCTGAGGATGGGGCACCCTGCTGCTGCTGCTGCCTTTGATAATTCTTGTTGGTGCTTCTTTTTCTTTCTTTCCCCTCTACAAGTAGACCAATGTTTCCGCCAAGGGATAACACGGAGGATTTGAAGGGGACGCTGTAAATGGCAAGGAAAACTTGTATATGACGCCGTTTGGATCACCCTGTGAGAAGGAGATGGCAAACAGCCGTATGTGTATGTAAATGTGTGTGCGTGGATTATATGGATGTATGGACTTGCAAATACACAAGTAATGTGGCCTATACAATTACATGTGCATACATTCGGTTGTACATGCGGTGCATGCTTGTGCATCGTACTTGAAGGATTTTCAGTTCCGGAACCTATTTCATTTCCGTCAAAAGAGAGAGAGAGAGATAATGACAATGATGGCAAGGACATGGCCGAGTGAAAGGGATCAGCCATTGGACTTTCTAGATGTAAGTAAACCTCCCATTTCCCTCTTTTACACGATCACACAGCTATCACCCGTAGCAGAACAAGCACCCCTGCTTGTAGGAACACTCCTTGCTATCGCCTTGATCTCGCCTCTCTCCCCCAACTTCCCCCTAACATCATCCATCCCCCCTCGCATCCACTTCTCCTTATGAAGGAAACAGCGAGTAAATGTATGTGTGTGAATCCAATGGAAGTGAACGTTATGTGAGGCAAATCTCGCTCCATGATACATTCAAGTGTCATACAACAGCAAAAAGAGATGAAATAGAGAATGAATGACAACCCCGATGAACAATTTGGTATGCTTTCAAAGACATAGCAACGCATCTGTCGCCATTACGACTGGGATCTGATGTAAATTGTATTGAGATAATCATTTGTCATTTTCGTCTATTGTTGCAAGACCCATTTGCATCATCGTCATCATCATCCCATTTTGTCCATAAGAGATGCTGACTTGAGCTTGGTCTGGTGAACTCTCTTCTTTCTCTTTTTCCTTCCTCACCAAAAAAAGGTTCTTCTCCTTTTTTTCTTTTCTCTCTTTCTCTCTCTCTTTCTTGATCCATCATTTGTTGTTACCCTCGCGTCTAAAAAGTAAAAAGGTAAGAAACTTGGCACCCTTGTATATTCAATCTTGCCGTTTATCTTTGAGAGAGCATCCAGCAACCCCCTCCTATCACCTTGAGTTGTGCACCTTGTCTACTTAAACACTCTCACACACTCACACTCATACACATACATCATACAAACGCACACACACGCACTCTTTCAAACTTACCCTTTGCCAACCGAATCCCCCGGGGGGAAGTAACCCCAAGCATCGTCCCCTTGTTCCCGCGCACATCGTATAATAACACCTGCTTTTCCTTTTTCCCTAATGCATTTCAAGGCGTCAACATTTTCTCTATCTTTTTCTTCTTTTTCCCGCCAGAGTCATTCATCTTGGATCCTTTTTGGTTTGCACACATCACTCCCCCAAAGTTGGTGCTCTCTCTTTTTTTCTTCTTTTTTGGATGCCTACCTTGCGTTTTGTTTTGCAGTAACCAACGTTATTATTTATACATAGCGAACCAATACACAAGTTGTCGGCAAAGTACATTCACCTTTACGTTATTCACTTGGCGAGATCACTATACGAGTTTCCAGCTGTAGCTGTCTGTGTGTGAGAGTGAGTATTCTTACTACGCTATGAGACCGTGCAAGGATGATGGATACTTTTTTCTTTTATTGCCCACATCACGCATCCTTTTCATTTGCATGCGAGTATGCGTATAGCTATATATGCGAATGCATGTGAGTGTGTGTGTGTGGTGCGGCTTTGTGTGGCAAAATGAGAAAGGCAATCGACCACCTCCTCAGGGCACTTGGGGGTTGGGTGGGGTGATTCATCATGATTCCTGCGTGCGGTTCTACCTTGCAGCATCTTTTGACACTATCGGTCTAATTTGTGATTTTCATCTCTTGGCAACTGCCACGTTGTATAGATTTATATCCAACAGGTGGCAAAAGACAACAAACAGAAAAAAAACCAGTCTCGCGTGTTCTTTCATCAGACGCATTTACGTGCTCCCATAGCCGCTCTTCTTTTCTTTCTTTCGCTCTCCTTTTCAAATCAACGTAAATGTATCAGCATTCTACCTACCCTACTCAACCACCCACATTTCCATACAACAACAACAGCACCAACCTTCCACCTGTTTCGAGCAGCATGAATAAGGCTTCAGCACATGATCCAATGGGTAGTCCACATCATCCACTAGCAAGACCAGCATCATTGCCATCATCCTATTACCCAAAATACCCATCGACAGGCAACAATAATGGAAGCAGCGAGTATCCCTATGGCAACACCAACAATAATGAGCAAAGTGGCAATGCCAACAGCACATCTCGATACGGCTTTGGTGCTACTACTACTAGCAGTACGAGTAGCAGCATGATGGATCGACCTGTTGGTGACAACAACACAAGCAGCGGTGCACATTATGATAGCCCAGTCCCACGTAACTGGCAGCAGCCCGATCCATTCAGAGACTACAGCCACCACGAGAATAATACTGATGATGGTGGAAGTGGAGGTTTATACCATACAAACAGCAACAACAGCCATGAAAGCAACAACAATAACAATAGTGGCAGCGTTGGCCTCCCTACAAGTCTTCCAACACCTACAGGGATTGCAACTTTGTCCTATGGAAACAATAGCAACAACAATGCAAGTGGAGGGGGATCAAGTTACTTTGCACCACCACCGCCAACAACACCAGTGCCACCTTCAGCATCAGCTAGCAGTACCAGCAGCAGCAACAACAACGAACGACACTTGTATCATCCTTATGCAAATGCAGCTGCAGGAAGCCGGCGACATTCTGCAAGTAACAGCAGCCATTTGGGATACTCATCGTCATCGTCACATCATTCAAGTAGCTATGCAGGACTCCCAAGCTTTGGGATCCCACCACCCCCTGCAAGACATGCTCTTGTGCCACGCCCCAAGTTAACTACGACATTATGGGAAGATGAAGGCACCATTTGTTATCAAGTGGATGCAAACGGAATTTGTGTGGCTCGACGACATGGTATGTGTATGATGATGAAATTTCATGTACGTGTGCTCATTCTCTCTTTTAGACAATGACATGATCAATGGCACCAAGTTGTTGAATGTAGCAGGCATGTCACGGGGTAAACGTGATGGTATCCTCAAGAATGAAAAAGGACGCGTGGTTGTCAAGGTTGGTGCGATGCATCTCAAAGGCGTGTGGTGAGTAACAAAACAAGCTTTGGGATATGGGTACATTGATATCGACTGACAAGAGATCCACCCTTTTTTTTAAGGATCACGTTCCATCGAGCCAAAACGCTTGCAACACAATACAAGATTGTAGACATCTTACAACCCCTCTTTGTGGATAATCCAAGCAACTACTTGTATGCATCACCTATTCATCATGCACACCATCACAGCCATGCAGCAGCTGCAGCCGCCGCTGGCATCGCTGGTCTACCTCCTGCAGGCTCTGCTTCCACACCTGCAGGAAGCCGCATCGATAGTGGTTTCTCCTCATCCACAGCTTCTGGACCTTCCGGTGCTTTTCGACATACCGGTGGTTTAGCAGCAGCAGCAACAACTACAACAGGTACCGAACCGCATCATCACCACCATCACCATCATCCATCATCCTCATCACCTTTTCAGCCACCTCATCAAGGTAAGTTTTTGGTCATCTATGCATGTTATCATCGGTTGTATAACTTTTTTACTTTTTAGGCTTACGACCCATGAGTGAACAATTTCCACCAGCAACAAGCACTGCTGCTCCATCTGCATCTTCCTTACTCAATAATGCTAGTAATGGTGCAAGTAGCAATGACGTGTATAATTTTGAGTATCGTGGTGAATCGTCACCTGCTATGGGTGGTCTTGTATCAAGCAACAACAATAATCCACCACCACCACCACCTCAAGGTGGTAGCAGCAATCTTTCAAATTATCATCTTTACCATCAGCAAAGTGGAAGGCTGGCACACCCACCGCCACCACCACCACCATCTGCTGCTCATGGCACCAATCCTTGATTTCTAACGCTCGTACTTTTTCTCTCTCTCACACATTTTCACTCTCTCCTTTTTTATTCTGTCTCAACATCTCTTACCTTCCTCTTTTCACCCAACAAAGACACACACACACACACATGCACAGTATACCATCTTGCTTGCTGTAATAAATAAGGTTGAGACAGAATGGGGAGGGGTGCGTGTGTTCTTCTCTTTTTATTTCACTAGGTATAGGATAATGACCACCCAGCACTCTTTTTTATTGTTAAACCCCCACCCCCCCATTCGCATTCTACTCTTCCCGTTTTACAGCAGCATGCAAATTCCCTTTTCTTATGTATGTATTATGCGCATCTTACAGATCGATATTAAAAAAGTTGCTCTTTAGTAGCATGTGCCATATCACAATATACGCTAAAGAATGTGTGGCACAGACAATTGAAAATGTACCTTAACCTTGTCAAAGTCAATCACGTACAAGGTAATCCGATTATTCTTATTCTCGAACGATCCACACGGCATGCCAAATAAAAAGGGGAGAAACCCATCAAAGCATCTACATGTGAGTCTGCACTAGCTAGCATTGCATCGCACTGCTTTTTCATATCAAAGAGGGAAGGGAGTGAGTGAGTGACACATTGTCTCCAAGATTACATGCATTATGCGCATATACACTTGACAGCTCATTGTTGTCTTTTCAAGGGAGCCAAAGTAAAGTTGGGATCAACAATGCAGCAGCAGCCAGCTTATGGAATCTATGCCTGACATGTTTCATGTAGCATCATCATCATCACTATCCATTGTTGTACTACCCCGACGTATCCATGACAACAACCGATCCAATACATGTTTTTAAATCTCTCTCGTTGGGGTTGCTTTTATTGCATCAAGAAAAAGATACACCAAGATTGAATCTCCATTTAAGCCTTGACAGCATACTTGCGAAGGGGGAAGTGGGCATCCTTCTTTTGTTGCTTGACGGTCTTGAGCTTACGTTCGTAAGGAGTCAAAGCGCGACGCATAGCACGGGTCTTCTTGACACGGAGATCGAGGGGCACGTACTTTTTCTTTTGGTAAAAGAGACGAAGCTGTTCACGTTGGGTTTGGTTGATGACAGTCAAGGTGCGAGCAACGTTCTTGCGAACTTCACCACTATTCCACACACACATATCAATTCCATTGGCTCCATAGATAGATAGACTCGTTTGTTGATATAGAAAAAGAAAAAACCTTACATTTGGTGAAGCTTGGCAGCAGAACCACCAGCGACCTTTTGAACACGAAGGGAGGCAAGCTCCTGCTTTTGTTCCTCAAGGGTCTTGAGAAGTTCAGCCTTGTTCTTGTTGCGAAGTTCGTACGCTTTCAAGGGAGCCTGGTAGTAAATAGATTCCATGTGAGCATGCTTGTATATATAAAGGTCAATGTTGAATGGTGGTCCATGTCCATGCATGTGTGGCCCATCGTGTGTTGGGGTCGATATCGATCAAAGATCAAAAAGTCGTTCAAGGCCGTAATTTGCGATGGAATTGAAGGATGGATAAAGAGAATAAATGGATGGATGAATGTCGATACATTACCATTGGAGAGATTACTAGAAAGGGGAGGATGAGCCGTTGGATGAATCATTGTCCTTTGCATAGGAGCGCTCTTCCCTCCTCCCCCCAATTTCCTAGCCCACTCAGGAAATTCGCTGGAGTCCCCCATGTTCATTATCAAAGTTGCTCATTGTTCACATACCCTTTCATAAACCAATAATCAAATAAGGTTACTCTCTTATCATCATTGTCATATCCATCCAAATTTTAATATCGACAATAAAACCGGTTATTACTTCGGGAACATGATTCGGCAACAACAATCTAGGTTAAAAATGCATCATCCATTACATCATCCTATATCCATTGGGAAGAAAAAAAAGAGAGAGAGAGTAGGGGGGTAATTCCTATAATACATGCATTGTGTGTGTGCGTGTGTGTGTATACGAGAAGATCTCACAAGGATAATGATACAAGTTAAGTTATACTATTTAGTTTGGAGGATAAGGAGGAGGATAAGCTGGTGCAACAGGCGATGAAGTAGGTGGATAACCAGCACTGGTACCAGGCATAGGCATAGCAGGAGGTTGTCGCTCAGGTAGAGGTGGTGGATAGAAACCACCTGGTGCAGCGGATGGCATTTGCTGTGCTGGTTGTGGTGGATACGCAGGTTGTTGTGGTTGTGGTGGATAGCTACCAAAAGAGGGTGATGATACAGGTGGATAACCAACACCAGTGCTTACAGGTGGTTGTGGAGGAGGATAAGCGCCGCTACCATGGTGTGGCTGTTGAGGGTGAGGAGGAGGATATACGTTGGATGTTTGATACTGGTGTTGAGTGGGTGATGGATAACCACCACCAGCCGCAGCATTTGACGTAGGTGGATACACATTTGGATTTGGTGGCTGTGGAGGATAACCACTACCATGAGGTGGATGGTTGGGTGTTGTGTATGCAGGATGTGCACCACCATGTGGTTGGCTTGGTGTAGAGTAATGGTTGCCATGGGGTGGATACGATGGTTGCTGTGGCGACGACGCAGCTGGATGATGATGTTGTGGTGGTGTAGAATAACTAGGAGCATTATAGCCATTGTTACCAGTTGCAAGTGATGCCTGAGATTGATATACAGGTTGTGCAGTAGGTCCTGTTGTTTGATGTGCTGGTGCTGCTGATGCGTAACCATAGCCAGGTGCTGCTGCGGATGATGATGGTGGAACAGATGTATGGTTGCTTGGATTGGTAGGTGGATTCGTAGGACCACTCGGTGTATATCCATTGACGCCCACCACTTGGATGTTCTTTGGCAATGATTTGAGCTCTGGAGGAACTCCCACTTCACCACCATAACCAAGTCTTGGTTGTCCAAATCCAGCTTGTTTGTGCAAAGGACCCTTATTGGCAGCCATACCCAACGACGTTTCAAAGATTTGATGAGGCTCAAGATACCATTGTTGATTCAAATTGTTTTCATCCTTGCGTTCGAGTAACACTTGTGCACCACCATCTTCGGACTATCACATGTTGGGTTATTTCCCTGATACTTGACCTCGACACCTTTTCTTCCTTTACCTTAATCTCGAGGATCATAGTAGGATACACCACAGAGTGAATGTAGCCATGCTCGTAGCCCCACTATGATAGAGAGTGAGTATACCATTCATTTCCTTGTATCATCGGCTATTACCTCTTGAGATTGATTCTTCTCTTTACGCTTGTTTTGAACGATGGTCTTGTCCTTCTTGAATGCACCTAATCATTGTTCCGAGAATGTTAGGAATACCTTGTTTGTATCTCCTCAAACTGGTTTGACATTTTACCCGATTGAATGTCCAACACTGTAAAAGTGGGTTCCTTATTAGCATAGGCGCTCCTTTCCATTATTCCATCCTAGGGATCAAATCCACTTACCATGACCAGACTTCTTATTCACGATACGTCCACCATCGAAAGACCACAACCTAATAGAAAGAAGGGTGAGCGATCCGAGCTTGTGGCACATCTCCATTGTTTTGGACACGCACACGCACACACCCACCCACACCCACCACGCATTCTCCCAACTTCATGATATCGTTTCCAAAGCAAAATACACTTACTGGTTGTCCGAATCAGCAAACTTTTGTGGCCAAATGATGATGTTGGCACCCGTCTAATGGCAAACCGAGATGGACATTGAGCATTGGAGGCTTAATCAGGGGAGTGTAGGAGGAGGTATTTTGAAGGTTGACGTACCTTTGTCTGCCCATCGTAGACATCGAGAGCGTAGCCGTTCTTTCTGGATATGATATAAAAGTAACCTGGGGGGAACATGAGTAGGTGGAGGAAAGGTTGGAAGGGAAAAAAGAGGAGAACACAAGGACGTGCGGCAGATCACTCGGTTTCTTGTGCTGTTAGACCGTCTGAGCAACTTGCCATATTTGTGTCCTGGCTGTGATGTTCATCCACTTGTTTGGTGCTAGCGTGGCGCACGCCCGACATAGAGACGTGTTATTGTACACCCTTCAAAAAAGTTTAATTAAAGGCAACACTCGTTCATTCTTATTCACCTTTTAGTACAACAACAATATCATTTAGCTTTTCATTCACCAAACCATAGCACTAGAAGGGGAAAAGCACATGGTATCACATTTGATATAGACATATGATCATGGCAGTCAACGTGCCATTACTGCTACCACGTTGCTTTATGCATTTGCATCTAATTGACAGGGATTGCATACGCTGGCTTCAATAGCCGTGAATGATGTTATGTGCAACGAGACCAACAGCTATAGAGCAGTAATTGCGAGCAACTTCATAATAAACTTACTCCAAATTTACATAAGGTAGCATGCCACGATAATGCTATGTGCTGATATGTGTGTTGTACATGTGTGTGTGTTTACATATAGGAAATGACCCTTATTATCTACTATCCACTATGCACTTGTCATCTTGTCCACACCCAAGGTCGCGTTTAACACTTGCCAAGCAGCTCAGCCCCGACAATTGTGGCGCGGAGGTGGGGTAAAATATGCTCCGCTGTAGCACACCGCAAAGCAGCGTAACCAGCACTGTAGCCAATGTATGGATTGTTTGCGCATTCACTGTTTCCCTCCTCATCTTCCCTAAATATAGACGAGGTTCTTGGCAGTAATAAATAATAAAGCTGAGCATAGCAAAAGCATTGATAAATATATCAACTCAATGCCGATGGTGGTAGTAGAGGTAGTAGAGCATGATAAGCCGTTGCATTGATACCACGTATCCATCATAGCCATGGCAACCAAGCTGTGTGCGTATTGCGATTACCCAATTCACGAGCAAGAATACGTCAGGATGATGAAGGATCAATTCGACATGTCATGCAATAACGTCAATTCGACGATGATGATAGGTTCACTTGATAATAACATGATAGGCAGGGGTTGTCCCGTGATCCACAACCACAATGGATCGAACATTGCTTAGCTCTTTGACCACCTTTGCTTGTTGGTAACAACGTAACACAGCAAGGCAATGACGTATGCCATATTAAATTGCTTTCTACACTCCACTGTACCTTCCATCTCGTCAAGGCTTCTCCATTTGTAGATCAACAAAGACGAACTTTATTACTTGTATATGGTCATGTTGGTGATTTTCTATTCCTGTCTTGGATACGAGGAGGTGCGGGGTCGCGTGACAATTTCATATGCAGACAATGATGTATGACCAGCCCGACGATCTATAAGAAGCAACTCTCTCTTTCGCGTTTGTTTCTTTTCTGCATTTGTCACAATGAGCAACTTCCCTTCGGGTTGGTTCTTTATTCAGTCGAAATGTGCTCACAAGATGGTGATCGACGTGGCAATGGATTCGCATAAGGTAACATGGGTGGACTCTTATTGTTCTACTATGAATGGGTTATTCTGATCATACTGCAGGACAGTGCCAAGATCGTCGTATGGCCGAAAAAGGAGCAAAACTTTGATAACCAGCTCTGGATGTATGATAGTGGTTATATCATCAACAAGAATTCTGGATTAGGTAGGATTGCAGAATGGCTATGTGGGTTATATGGATCATTGATTCGATCTTCATTCTTTATTTAGTGCTCGACGTTCTTGGAGGTAAGGATGTCAATCGATCTATCCAGTGTAATGGTAAAATGCTAATAGACATGATGTATTAGGCGTCTTGGAAAACGACAAGCAAATTATCCAATATAGGCGCAAAATGGTAGAGGACGCGCAGAATCAACGGTGGTATTATCGTGAGGATGGGTTCATTTATCCCCAAGTAAATCCCAATCTTGTGCTGGATATCAGGGTAAGTGCATTCGGCAGTTGCGCAGGTTCGGATAAAAGGGAAATGTTATACTAATAACCATCTCTCGCGCAAAAGGGTAATTGGACCAAGCCAGGCACTGTGGTGTTGCTTTACGACCGCAAGTTTAGCGATAACGAGAATCAGTTGTGGGATTTGATTCCTCATGATCCACAAGGTTCCAACACTCCCAAGGATGATGATTCAAGTGATATTGACAAGGATTATTCGTTTAGCTCCTCCAGCTATGCTCTATGACAACCCTATTCCTTCTAGACCAATAAACCGCTATATAGCACGTATGATTCGAGATCGATGCATTAAAGTGATAGTAAAATATACGTTTATCATAATCTCTTTCTATAGTTTGGATTTGTAGTAGTGCGCAAGGTGGCTCAAGTTTTCCAACATAGATCAATCGCAGCTATACAAGCCAAATGTTATTATCGAGGTTCGAGATCAGTTTTCAATATCAAAATAGCTACCCAGCCTCCACCAGAAGATAATGCTGAAGAGCGATCACAATTGTTAAGGCAAGATCGGATGAGATGATGGAGGGGCTATTCTCGGTGACGGTATCGTATAAAGGGGATTTGAGTTATCCGAGATAATGTGTGAGATGATGGTACCTTGTCATGGAGCTGGCCAACAAGTTTTGCTACAACATTGGACTCTGAATGTACCTGTGGACACCAAGCATAGAGCGGGAATAGCAACGAACAAAAGGAAGCAGTGATATCGCTATGGCAACCACCAACCACCAACCACGCTCATTCCTGAGCACTTGAACACACTCACTCCCTGACAATGCACGTTCGCAACTATATTAATACCTCACAGCCAACAAGAGTTTATTGTAATAATGAATGCTGCTATTATTGAATAGGTTCTTGGTCAGGTAGTGCAACTTCCAGCATCATCTCTCATTGGGTTCGACTCCCAGCCTGTACCTTTTGGCCACTTGTTGATATAGCTATTAGAGTACTGTTAGTGATGCTCACGAATGCGTAAAAAATATATAAATGATAAGGTGGCAAATTAGCTTCCATGGAAACCCATGTACTGACAAGGATGGCCACGCGAAGGCTTTGCCGTCACCCTCTCCCCTACGGTGCACCAAGCCGGATAACGGGGGCTACCATTGTAAACAACAGCATCTTCTATAGGTGCTGCTCGAGCCAACATGTTCGGTCTGATAAAAGGATAGCATCCCACGCCCACAGAGGCCGACCCATAAGAGCAAAAAGCAATACATGATCCCATATCTACCACAAGGACACTGATGAACAGTCTAACTTCCAACGGCTAAGGCAGCAATCCTCAAATGCAATTGATAGGGCCACGATAGGGCTGACCACACTGTCGCATATGAATCATAGCTGCCAACGATGCTTTACTCAAAAGAGCAAGGCACCATCCCGTTCTACCCATAGCAAATAAACATCCGCATATCAGTAGTTGCTGTCCTCAAGCGACCTTCTTGGGTAAGTGTCATCAGAGAGACACATCATGCACCGCAACAAATAAATCCGGTCTTGACGAAATAGCATACGCGAGAATATTGACTTGCCAAGAGAACGTCCAAGGTATCCATACAAGTACTTGAGGAATGAGATCCGCCATGGCACCGATAAAAAAACATTGCTCTGAAGATCCACCGATAAAGAGATGACTTGCAGGTAGCTGATTTTCAAAACCATGGAAACGGTATCCTTGACAACCACAACTATAAGATAGAGATCGTTTGCTTGCTTCTGAGAAACCCACCCAAATTCAAATGTTGATCTTCGTCTTTCAAAGCAATAGAACTCGCCACTGGCAACTGTTGTAAGAAGACCAAATGGACTTTGATGACACCAAGAGAATGTGAAAAGATAGCTTGATGGATTGATGGACTATAAAAATGCATGTCACTAGTTTATCGCTGAGATAATGGTAACAACACTTAGCCTGTGCCATATGAGAATCCACGACGCCCGTTGCCCCCAGCAACCAAAACCAATTCCCTTGCTTCAACGATGTCGATACAATGACCAATGCTGATACGTAATCTTTTCTCCAAAGGAAAGGAGCGATACTTGATGATGAATGCCATGAGAGATGGATACACCTTTACAGCACCAAAAGGACACGTAACATTGTTGTTTGTTGCTGATGTGATACATCCATAAGAGACGTGCACTGCAGAGGGCTGTTGAAATCAATTGGCCAAATAACGAGAACCACCAGATGATCGAGTAAATGCTGTTGACAATAAAGATAGGAACTTTGTTGCTTGTGCTGATATGGTCCACCGACAACAGGCATGCGTATAGTGGGATATCCATCGAAAGGATTGTCGACAACTAGAACCAAACTGAGACGAGATCAAGCTTGGCGACACCAAAAGATATACAAGTTGTTGCTTGTTGTTGCAGATGCAAATAAAAGGAAGTATCCAATAGGTGGTAACGAGAACCATCGAACGATGTAATAAGGCCAACTGATACTGGACGATGCTATACTGTAGACGTCGCTCCTTGACCCTGACATGATTCACCTATAAAAGATGCACGGTATACAGTCTTCCAAATCCATAGAACGATATTTAGCAATGATAGCTGCATCCATCAAGAATCCAAAGGGCACATGACAAATAGCTTGCTGAATAGCCCACATGCTATGATAAAAGCGGAGGTTGGCAGGCGTTGTAGAAACGAATGGATCATCAATTACCAATGGTAGCCATGTAATGAAACCTTGTCGACATCAAATGATAGCTGCATCCATCAAGAAACCAAAGAGCACAAGACAAGTAGCTCGCTGAATAACCCACATGAAAGAGGGTGTTAGTAGGCGTTGAAAGAAATAAATGGATCACTATTTACCAACGACAGCTTCATCCATGATAATCCCAATGCACCAGAAGACAAGTAGCTTACTGAATAGGCCACATACTATAATAAACGAAGAGGTTGGCAGGCGTTGAAGAAGAGAACAGATCACTATTTACCAATGATAGCCATACGCACGAAAACATGTCGACATCCAATGACAGCTGCATCCATGATAACCCAAAGAACCAGAAGACAAGTAGTTTGCTGAATAGACCACATACTATAATAGAAGAGGAGGTTGATTGGAATTGGAGCCAAAACACGGATCATCCACTATTTACCTATGATAGCCATACGAACGAGAACATGTTGACATCTAATGACAGCTGCATGCATAGAAATCCCAATGCACCAGAAGACAAGTAGCTTGCTGAATAGACCACATACTATAATAAAAGAGGATGTTGGTTGGGATTGGAGCCAAAAAACGGATCACCCTCTATTTACCAATGATAGCCATATGCATGAAATCCTGCTGATATCCAAATCAAACCGATTCTTTGCAATCGTCTGCTTGTTGATAAGGCCCGCTACGGTGGCACTCGGCTTGAAAGCGATGGAACGATACTTTACGGGCATATGCAGTGAGAAGGTTGAGTAATATTGATACCACCAAAGAGAGAGCATACTTACATGATGCCGAAGAGCCCTTACAAAGAGAGACAACGAGACAATCATTGCTGCCCAAGACCACATGCAAATCGAGAAAGCATTGTGCATCGAAAAGCCCAAACCAGATCCTAGCTGCGGAGTGACGTACATATGGCTAAAGAGCGATGTGAATGGCAATCGTTTTTCATTGGAAATCGAATGCAGCTTGACGATGAATGCCTTGAGGAGATGCATAAATGACCTTGGTAACACCAAAGATGTCAACGCGGACTCTCATCGCTTGTTGATGGCATGATCCATCCATAAGACACGTATAGTTGTAAAGATCCATCAAAGGAATCGCCAATAACCAGAACCACCAAGAGATAGAAAGCTTGCTGATATCAAAGATATAAAAGTTGTTCCTTGTTGCTGATGTGATCAATCGATAAGAGACCTTCATTTCAGGATGCCCACCGAATTGCCGATAACGAGAAGAACCAGATGATGGGATAAAGCTTGATATGACACCAACGATATGGATGCTGTTGCTAGTTGCTGATACAATCCACTCATAAAAGACGTTCATTGGCTGACATTCTCCAGAGAAATTGCCCGTTGCTTGGTAACCAACCACCCGAGGCGCAATAAAGGTTGACACCACCAAAAGACATAAATGCTTCCCCATGACTGACATGATTCACCTATAAAAGATGCACCATAAACAATTGTCCCAACTCATCCAACAATACTTAGCAATCATAGCTGTGATCTCGTAAACTCCAAAGCACCAAAAGACAAGTAGCTCTCTGCAATAGGTCCCTCTAAATAAATAATGGTAGGCGTTTCAGCAAGGTCCCCAAAAAGCATGAGAGTGTACCTGAGCCATGGTGATCACAAGGGTACAACCAAATACCATCCGAGAGCAATACAATAATCAACCGGCGCGCCAAGGTATGCCACCATATGTACCATACTCTCATTGGATCTGAAATTGGCATCATAAGAGATATCCACCGCCTACTCTCTGTAGGCAAGGAAATCAATAGCCGGCATACTTGGATGGAGGCCGTGCGCACAGCGGATGCCTTTTCAAAT